GACTTTGTCAAGAACTTTCTTGTCTATGTTTTGTAAAGACTTCTTCGTAAAGACTTTGTAAAGACTTTCTCATGAACTTTCTTGTCTATGTTTTGTAAAGACTTTGTAAAGACTTTGTTGAGAGTTCATCGTAAAGACTTTGTAAAGTTCTTCTTCGTAAAGACTTTGTTGAGAGTTCCTCATGAACTTTCTTGTCTATGTTTTGTAAAGTTCTTCTTCGTAAAGACTTTCATTTTATACTAAACATCTTCAGGGCTAGAAGGCACGAAGTGCCTGGAAGCCCCACTTCCCTTTTTTTTTTTTTTTTTTTTTTTTTTTTTTTTTTTTTTTTTTTTTTTTTTCTTTTCCAGCCATTTGTGAAGTACCGAAAATTAACCATAAAAATCATAATTTGAATGATGCTGGAGCTAATGTTGACGTAATTACAAGAAGAGTTATTGGAATTTTGTGTGATATAAATGAAAGAAAAGCAACATATAACAAAGCAGCATGAATATTTTAAATATTTTGTTAACACATCTCTAGAGGTATCTAAATAAAATCCCATCGGAATCAAAAATTTGGGGACGAACTTTAAATTGAATGGTCAATTTAAAGCAAGTATTCAATTTTTTGGTCAATTTAAAGCAATGAATGAGAAAAACTTTGAGCTTAGGGCTAATGAAGGTTTTTACAACGTAGATAGATAGATAAATGTATATGTCATCATTCCTATGAGTATGGTGGATTTCTATAAAAAGTGAGTGCAATATCACATTGCATTTCGAAACATGAGAGAAATAAGCATATATATACGTTATTACATATATATCTATATGCTATTCTATATTATTACAATGTTAAAATAAGAAAAGCTCTAAGAGTCTCATTTGAAATATAATCTATGTTATTTTTATATAACAATTATCAATGAGAATGTAAATTATATTTGATTAGACGATAAATGATGAATAGACTTAATTATTTATGATTAGACATGTGTGAATAGAAAAATTTGTTAACATTTATGAAGATAATGTGTTTTGATTGAGATTACATTTGTGCTTAGTGAAATATTGCTATTTGATTGCATTTATATGTGTAAATTAGGAAAACTCGCACTTTTTCACTTGAATGTGATTCATTGAATTTCAATTCAAGAAAGGAGTTTACAAATGCAGAGTATTATTCCTTTACCCTGCATTTGTAAACTCCTTTCTCGAATAGCTTGCACTTTTTCACTTGAATGTGATTCATTGAATTTCAATTCAAGAAAGGAGTTTACAAATGCAGAGTATTATTCCTTTACCCTGCATTTGTAAACTCCTTTCTCGAATAGCTTGCACTTTTTCACTTGAATGTGATTCATTGAATTTCAATTCAAGAAAGGAGTTTACAAATGCAGAGTATTATTCCTTTACCCTGCATTTGTAAACTCCTTTCTTGAATATCTTCATTTCTTTTAATTATAAATATCACATTCTTTATAAAACTCCTCAAATATCCTCAATTTCCAATTACAATAATAAATAACCATTTTCTATATTTCTTAAATTTCTCTAATCCTTAATTTTCTTATCAAATTTGTTATTTTTTCAATAATTTTTAAAATTTTCTATTATTTTTGGAAATTTTTATTTAATTTTGTGAGAAATTTATTCAATTCTTATTATATAATAATATTTTTCAAAAATATTGTTGTCATTTTTCAATGATTACGAGCTTACTGAGCATTGGCTCATCCCATCAAAACATTCCATTCAAAACTCTGGCCTTCATCGAGGCCAGAGCTCACAATTCATCTCCTCAGAGCCAAGTTCCTCGACGGTAGTCCTCATTAGGCACGATCCGAGAGGAACTTGGCTCTTCATTAAAATCACAAGCTCTGGCCATTGCTCAGGCCAGAGCTTCGCAAACCATCCTCGGGGCCGGTTTCCTCAAAGACCGCCCTGATTCAGGGCGGCCGGAGAGGAATCCAGCTCCGAGAGAGTGCCCATACGAAGCTCTGGCCTTAGCAGTGGCCAGAGCTTTCAAAAACAATCCTCAGGGCCGAGTTTTGCGATGATCGTCGATCATGTCGACAGTCTCGCAAGAACTCGGCCCTGAAAGACATACAGATACAGGCTCTGACCCCAGCAAAGGCCAGGGCTTCGTTTTAAATACCCAGGGCCGGCTTTCTCAAATGCCGCCCTTATCCCGGGCGGCAGGAGCGAAAACCGGCCCTGGGAATCCTACAATACCAAGCTCTGGCTCCTACTGAGGCCAGAGCCTGCAAAATTCATCCTCAGGACCGAGTTTTGCGATGATCATCCACATGATAGACATTCTCGCAGAAACTCGGCCCTGAAAGACGTAATATCACAGTCTCTGGCCTCAGTAGAGGCCAGAGCCTCGCTTACATTACTCAGGGCCGGCTTTCTCAAATGCCGTCCTGATCTATGGCGGCAGGAGAGAAATCCGGCCCTGGGAAGCATGAAATACGAAGATCTGGCCTTATAAGAGGCCATAATCTGCAAATACTCCCTTCTCTACAGATTATGATCCAATGTAACACAGAAAGCCTAGAAGGAAGCCCCTTCTCAAGGTTAAGACTTCCTTCCTGGCTTTCTGATACTGGATGGAGTGGAGGTTGGCTTCCATTGCAACTCCTTCCAGGAAGATCAAATGATTACACAAAAGTCATGGCAATTGTATTCTAACATTATAAATACAATTGCCATGGCCTACAATTGCGAGTGCCTGCTGCTTCAGCAGAGATTTGCAGCAGACACTCGCAATGTTAACCAAAATTCGTCTGAAAGTTAGAAGATGGGCTTTTTCTCAAGGTCAAAGTCCATTTCCTAACCTTCTTATATTAAAATGAGCATTTTGACAGATTATTATTTTTTATCCCGGCATCATCAGCTTGTCATTCTAAGCTTATCATTTTCAGCTTATACTTATAAATTCTAAAACAGTGATTATTGAATTCACGAAATAGAACACCACATTAAGAAATATTATTTACTAACTTTTTCAATAATTAAAAAATATCAATGATACTTAAGTGTCATCACATACAACACATTCTTATGATCATCATAATATATATTATAGAATATTGCATAATAATCCAAATTCAATTTCAATATTAAAGTGTACTATCCATTATCTCTTAACATCATAACATACTCAACGAGTACTGATCATATGCTATTGATCAAGCCTTTAAAACAAACTACATATATGATTGCTTTAAATTGACCAAAAAATTGAATACTTGCTTTAAATTGACCGTTCAATTTAAAGTTCGTCCCAAAAATTTGTGATGCCCTCATGAGTGGAGTTTATCCATGATGAAACCTTTGTTTCTTTATCATATCCGGAAAATGCTTATTTCATCTATGAATATGAGATAAATACTTATGATAGATCCTTAAAAATATGAGAAATTGAGAATTTGACTTAGATTTATTATTATAATCCAACAACTTTTCCGTTTGTTTCTTTAACAGACTCGGCAAGGAATGGATATACCTTATTATATATTGAATGTGAAAAACATACAACATATACTTCCAAACCAGATCTTTTGATGAGATCAATATTATTGGTGATTGAATCGCAAATAAGATCCATTGGATTTCCGAAAACTCCACCGCCAAGTAATGTCAAATAAAGTTTATTTGATCCTTTCCTTCCTGCGTATTTGATTGAATTATCCCAAGCTTGAAGGATTGTTGCTTTATACTCTGCTTCCAAAAGGTATTCAGATATTTCTGTAGTGAATGGTGTCTCAACAACGTTTCCATTGAAATTAAATGCAGCAGCATAAACGTGATGGGCAATTTGCTTCATATCTGTCTTCATTATTCTTCCATTAAGTCTCGAAGTTGTGACAGTAAGATTACTATGGGAACCGATCTTGTAATGGTTCAAATTATTCCAATCAAAACCTGACTCATTTAATGATCTTTCTTCTTTTTGGTCAATACTGGGATAACCTCCTTGAACACGTAATGGTGTTTCATGTAACAAGTTTATAACATGCTCAAATTGGCCTCTTTTACCGTTGATTTCAACAAAGTAGTTCCTATAGAGGGCGCCTGGCGCACATGCAATAGCACAGTAAGGTCCTTGTGTTGGATCATATTCATAACTTGAGATTCCATCTCTGGCAGATTGGTATTCGCTTGTGAATTCAAGACAATTGAAATTAGATGCAGCTAAAAATGTTGCTCCATCATTTTCTGGAATTGATTGTGATGCAAGGGAATCAACTGGAGATAATTCATCCGGATTTGTGCGACCTCCAACAATGATATTAAGAGTTCCATTGTTTCTATCTTCATGTTTTGGAATATCATTAATTCCAACAACTTCGAACTTGCCAGCTGAATAAGTTTCATTTAAAATTTTATTATGCATTAAAATATTCCCTGTACTATCCTTGGAAATATCAATATTTGAATAAACTTTCTGAATAGACTCTTCGAACCCAAATACAGAACCGAAATAACTCATTATAAAAATGAAGAAAATTTTGGAAAAGTCACTTTTGAAAAGTTCCTAAAGTTGTTTATTTGGGACTTGCAATTGAGATTACACTCGTTTTATTTACAATTCGATTTTTTCCCACAGTTCAAAATTTTTACCACAATTCAAATTATTTTTTCCACATTCAATTTTTTTTACAATTTGAAAAATCCAAAAAATTGAGGCAAAATAATTAAGGCAATATCAGATACAGTAGTTATGAAGTGATATGTTGAAAAAAAAAAAAAAAAAAAAAAAAAAAGGAAGTGGGGCTTCCAGGGGCTGCGCCCCTTCTAGCCCTAAGAATTTTGCCCAAGACCCAAGAGGAGGACCGAACCCCAGCCGACCAGCCGGTGATAAAAACCAAAACCGTTTTTAAAAAGTGACAGACAACTCCGTTTTTTAAAAGTGACAAAACCGTTTTTCACTATATAAGAGATATGCAAACAAAAAAGTGACAGCCGCATGTTTTAAACTACAAAAACCGCTTTTTAACTCCACTTAAAATGCCACGTAAGCTACGTAAGAATATACGTAAGAGGAAGGGAGCATTGAAACATCCAATAGTAAAACTGACACCACAACAACAGTTGCAACAACAAATGATGAATGACCCCACTATGTTGCAACAAATGTCAAGCAACCCTATGCTTTTAAACCGAGTTATTGGTGCACAGAGTGGAGGTTTAAGAGCGGCACTTTTAGCGAAAATGGCAGGCTATGGTGGAGCTGCAGACGGAACAGCTTATAACCCTCAAAGTCAAATGAATTTGAGTTCACTCAAAAATCAAATAACAGATGTCAAAAAGTCAAACATAGACATACAGAAACAAATAAGTGAAAACGAAAAGAAACTAGAATATGACAGACACACAAAGAAACTCAATGAGTTAAACGTAGAGAAAAAGAAGAAAGAAGAACAACTGAAAGAACTAAGTACAGAGGAATATGCGAAAAAAGTGTCAGAAAAAGCAGCAGAAGTAGCAAAAATGGAACAAGATGTTATAAATTTGAAAAACCATACTACTCAATATAAAGTACTGAAAGATGAAGAGATAAGACAAAAAGCTCTGAAGACATATATGGATAGCGATGAGTATAAAAAAGAAGTTGAAGCAAATGTAAAGGCAGAAAAACTTTTACAGTTGCAAAACCAAACCGTACAGTATGAAAACTTAGCACAAGAAAGTAAAAATAACGACGCAGCCATGCAAAAGGCAATGAAAAGCGCAGAATATATAAAAGCTAATAATGACTGGTTAGATGCCCAAGCCAACGCCAAAGCAGCCCAACTTATAGGGTCAATAAGGACAAAAATACAAGCGGATGAAGACAGTTCAAATGAAGCTTTAATGAATGCCGACTTTAAGAATGCCTTCGAAGCTCTTCATAGTAAGGTGAAACTAGTGAACGACTTCTCATCTGGAAAGAAACTGAAGTCTGAAGGTTTCGACAAAGAGTTAAAAGAAGTAGCACAAAATATGACGAAAATAACAGATGCAGCAACGAGACAGGCAGTTCAAAGTGCCTATGACGCCGTTAGAGCAACTGTTGTGGAAAGTCAAGAAAAAGAGTTACAACAGACCAAAACAGACCTAGTAAATGCTTTCTTAAGAACGAAAAGTCAGGTAGGACATTATGCTGCAGATGGAACATATGTGCCAGCTGGTGGAACTTATATACCAGCTGGTGGAACTTATATACTAGCTAGTGGAACTTATATACCACCAAACCCTCCAAGAGAAGCACCTGCACCAGGACTACCTAAAACATTTACATCGTCACATGGACACAGACACAGGCATGCACCAAAACCAACACAACAACCACCTCCACAACCAGCACAACAACCACCTCCACAACCAGCACAACAACCACCTCCACAACCAGCACAACAACCAGCACAAACAGAGCAAGGACATAAAAGAAGTAGAGAACAAGGAAACCAAGAATTCTTAAAAATGCTTAAGGAAGAATATGATTACCCAGATACTCTTGACTTTAGTGACAGATATAAAGAAGCTATTAGAAAGTTCAAGGGAGGAAATACTGACCCGAACCTATTTAGCTTTATGGTTCAGCACCAAATGGGATATAATTTCAAACCTGGAAAATACAAGCTCGCTAAGGGATATGATTTAATAGCATATCATCCAAATGACATGGATGAATTTACTCCGAGATATTTGGTGTCAGAGATAAATGATAATTCAACTATCTTCATGAAACGCGTAAAAAATAGAGACGGAACGAAAGAAGAAAGGGTTATGAATGCGGATGACTTAAATAGGGAACTTGTTAAAAACGGTCTCGGAATATATGAAATGCCACCAGATGAGGTACAAGAAACTCCACAGGAAGAAGTTCAGATACAACCAGACATGGAAGAAATAGTTCAGCAACAACAGCTAGAAGAGCCTGAAGGAAACGAACAAGTCCCTCCTTTGGAAACTAACTTCACAGAACTAGATGAAGATTTGGAACAGCCGAAAAATCTTGACCCTCAACAAGAGTATGCGGAGAATATGGAATCTTTCCAAGAGTCTAAGAAAAATTCGGCTGACATAGTAGAAGAATATCGAAAAATGTTCGCCAACATACAAAAGACTCCAACATCAGATGAAAATATTCAGCAAAGAATGGAAGAACTGAAAGAAAATGTACGCAAATACAACAATCCTTTTTACTTACGAGCATATAACGTTCAATCTTTGGATGAACTCGGTGAAAATAAAAGGTTAAATTTCAACAAAACATATAGAAATGAAACTGTTTAAAGTTCATTCAGAACCTAACCAATATGGAAACAAACCTACTTTTGTTTCTGCAGACTATGGAACTACAATGAGATGGGGTCATAAAGCTAATCCGGATAGGTGGTTCATAAACTTACAACCACAATTCCAAGAAGTTGTAGACGCAATGGAAGCGAATGGTGAACCAGATATAGCTGGTATTTTCAGCGCGGCTTTAATGCCATTGAAAGATATGAAACATGCAGATATTTTGGACCAGTATGAAATGAACATGGCTGATGGAAATATAACATCTGACGTTCTAAAACATTTATCTCAAAGAACTACACAGAACCATAGAGATGGTATATTTGGTGAAGAGTTTAGAAAGAGAGTTAGGGAGAGAGAAGGAAGAGAACCTATTGTACATGACCTTGCAAACGAAAGTTTGCAAAATGTCATAAAAACTTACTTTGCAGACAATGAACAGAGAAGGGATGAATATTTAAGAAAACTCAAATGGACAGTACCAAATGAAATGTTAGTATTGAAAAACATGTTCCTTGACAAAATAAAACCAACTACAGAAATAAATGACGCAAGACTGAAACGTTGGGTAAAAGCTTTCCCATTCACAAAAGATATTATTGGTAACATGGAAAGAAAACCAGAATGGCTACAAAAACATATATTTGGAAACGAGCTTATTCCATATGGACAAGCTCTGTTTGAAGAGCTTGAACCGGAAACTCAGGAAAGAGTCATGCAAACAATACGCGAAGACTCAAATACAAACTATGACAAAATCTTTCTAGGATATAGGTTACCTGAGATGGGCGACCAGAGCCCAAAGGCAAAAAGGACATGGGAAATTTGCAACATACTAGGTGAACATGAGGCAAAGATGCAACAAAACTCAGTCAGGAAGAAAGTAAAGCTTGGTACGAGTGGGTTCTATTATGACACATAAATCCAACTATTCTATATTTTTACCCATATGAAATGTACGCCGCTCAGAATATTACGCCAACAGTTTTGGATGCCATGAACGGAAATGTTTCTGAATGGTATAACGAATGCGACAATGCCATTAGAAGGTCAGAAATAGTTCCTGGAACTTACGAATATACAACTGCTGTTTCTTATGGAAACGTAGGTGAGTTTGGTGAAGGTTCTTCAACAACAGTAGATATTGCTTGCGACAGGTTTCACATTATTTCTATTGACAACTCATTCTTATACGTGGAACAAGACATTGAAATAAAACCTTCTGCCAAGTTGTCTGACAAGAAAGGTTGCAATGGAATTTTCTATGTCGGATACCAATATGCTCCAGAAGTTTTCATGGGATATAAGATATATTCTAACTCTGACTTAGTTCAAACAGTAACATGGGCAAACTATGAATGGTTCGCTTTGAGAAACTCAGTACAACCACAAGCTAGAGAACAAACAGACCAGTATGCAACTATTGAGAAAATAAGAAGACTTGACCCTAACGTTCCAGGAGTTTATGTTAACCTTTCTGGTTCAGATGGAACTGCTGCCACTAAAGTAAAACTGAAACTTAGAGTTCCTTTGTCATCTTTCCTCATCTTCAGGTTTTTAAGATACTTGCCAAACTGGGCAGGAAAAATTTCTATCGAACTTACTCCAAGCAAAAATAACTTAGTCATTGCACCAACACAAGACCCATTCACTATTACTGTAACTGGAACTGGTGGAGCCAAGTTCTGTGACTTTTGCAAAGACAAAGTTGACTTAGACTTTGGTTTCTCAAACCTCAACACTGAAGTAAACTATTATTTCAATGCTGCTGGAAATGCTTGGGACCCAGTTAAGTTTACATGCGAACAGTTTGAATGCAAGAGAATAGAAAGCAGACTTGCAGTCTATATGTTGGACCCAGATATTTCAAATGCTTTAGCTGCCAAATATATTGCAGTTCCACTTATGTTCCCTATACACCAAATATCTGTCAAAGACTTTGCAGGTGAAGTTGGAAACCAAAGTGCTGACCCAGGTGCAAGAACAGATATTGCTTTAACAACTGCAATGAAACATGCAGATACTATGTTTGTACTGTTCAGACGAAACTATAAATGACTATTCTTGTTCTACAACCCTGGTATTAAATATCATATAAACATAGATGGCAAATATTATCCAAGAGAAGAATATTCTACAGTTGAGGATATGAGGTCATACAACTTGACATTAGATGCTATGAACTTTAACAACAACTTCACAACAACTATTAACCCTGAAATGCAAAGTTCTATTATGCCATATGTGGAAAGTATGGACTCATACAGGAGGTCAAAAAACTCAATATACAAATGGAGACCGTTCAAACTTTTGGCTTGGCATTCCATTTGCTGACTCAGAAGACTTTATGGTGGTATTTCAACTGTTGGTACTGTACAAATACAATATACTGGTGACAGAGACCGGTCCAGATGAATTGAAAGCAAAGAAGTTTACAAAACCAATAGCACTTTTCACGGAAGATGCTCTTTTGAAGATTCGTTCGATGAAACCTGCTGGGGCTCCTCAGATTGGCATAACGACAGCTTCCATCGAGCAGATTTTGGCAGCAGGTCAGTAAGTTGTTCTTGAACTGACTTCTCTCTGTCAAATATTGACAGTACGCCAGTTTTGACATAATATTGTATTATAAACTTTCCTTTAGTAATATCGGTCAGTTTTGAAGTTATATTTTTGTCAACGTCAAGAACTTTCACCATCTCGGTTATACCAACTTTCTTTGCTTTATGAAAATATTTAGGTTCAGCAAAGACTGCTATTCTATAACATTTTCCATTGTTTGTGTAAAGAACTATTCTGTCAATGTATTTGTATTGTTTGTGAGTATAAACCTTGTTTTGCTTCAATTCAAAGAGATATCCGAATACGTCCATCTTTTTATTCTAAGTAAAATGTCATTTCCGAAAAATAGAAGCGTAAGTGTTTCAAAAGGTTTAATGGCGGTGGCAGATGTGAAGTTAAATTCACCAACTCAAACAAACAGTCAAAGTGTTGTTGTCAATGTCAAAGACAGAGATGTTGAAGTGGGGAAACCATACGAAGACGAAGATGGTATAACAATAGTTCCTGTAAAAGAACCAAAATATCCTGAAGTTAACAGAGACTTAAGTTCTGTTGCAGATATTCGAAACGACTACCAACAACTGAAAGACAAACTTCAAACTCAGGAGAAGATTTGTCAAGCTTTAAGTATAATGTTAAACTTGGTCGAACACAACCTGTTAAAAGTGAACTCATATGTCATTGCACCTCATGAAGTTTTGAAAGAACTATTGAAACTTTTGACAGAGGCAGACGATATAAACATCAAAGAAATAGAACCCGACATTAGTTGCTGTGGTGTTTCATATAATGTCATTGACAAGATATACGTTATGAAAGGAGGTGAAACGTTGAACTTAAAATATAGTTTCCCAGACGTTATAAAAATATTTGACGACCACAACATTTCATTAAAATTTATTTGCTAAGTAAAAATGTTCAAAACTTCTTGAAAGATGTTTGAAGAAAAATAATATAGACTTTATTTCATGTAAAGGACTTTACACACTTTTGAACGATATGAAAAGACCCTGTTTTGTTTGTTCGTGTAGACAAAGGAAAGTTCTATGTCTTTTACAAAATATTTGAACTTCTTAGACAGAGAACTTCAAGAAACGCCATGTGAAAGTTTAGATGAAGTTCTTCTCCACTTTCAGAAAAACTTTTAAATAATATAAATGGCAGAAGACATAATGGTTTATACTATTACGACTAAAAACCCTGAGTCATATAATTCTATAACAACAAACTTACAAAGTCCTCAAGGACGATTATTGTAAACTAACCTTAAACACAATGACGACTAAAGCCTGTTTTGCTCTTTTGACACCAGAAGACTTTATTGTTGTGAATGGTAAAAAATACTCCTTTGAAGATACTTACTCAGATATACCACCAACAGGTTTTGTTGACTTATTTAATACTTTAAGGACGGGTGTAACATGTGCTGCAACTAGAGCAGGTTTCATTATGTTTGGATGTCCGACTGAGTTTACTATAAACGATATGAGCTTATAATACAAAACTTATATCTGGTTTTTACTACCAACAGTTTCCTATAACAGGAAAAGGTGTCATACAAGGAATGTCTATTCCATTGACATTAAGCACACCAATTTATATATTGTTTCAAACTTAGGTTCAAAGTGTTATTCGAATGTCGACAGAAACTATTATGACCAAAAGATACTTATGCGTATAAACAATACTTTCTCTGCTGGTTTGCCTATTGTTCATTCGAATGCAGAATTTTCAACCTTAGTGAACTCAAACACTTTGGCAAGTATAACGTTGACATTAGTTGACGCAAACTTTGTTCCTGTAAAACTTTTATGTCCTATGTATTTGTCAATGACGGCAGAAAGTTTCGAATTGGAAGATGCAACTGTGAAAGTATTGTATTACAAGAACAACTTCAACAACAAATAGCTCAAGAACAACAAATGCAACAAACAAAGTCAAGAATAAAAAATATTATTTTTTTATTTTTATAAAAATGTACAGAATAGATGTTTCAGATTTTTATGACTTCCAAGCATTCAGAAATATGTGTCCATTTCGAGACTATAACAAAGCAGTCGAGAATTTGAAACGTTTAGTCATTTAATGTTGACTCTGCCCCAGAATGTTATGTCATGAAAGAATGGGATGTTGTCTTTAACAAAACCAAGAGCAACAATAGTTTCAGAACAAGAATGTAGACAGAAACTTAAGAAAATAAAAGTCGTACAAGTTGGAATGAAGATGTTAGATGCTTGGGATATCTTATTGTCAAAGTTAGAAGATTTTTCAGTTCGAGGTATAAAGTTTTATACACCTTCTCCAAACTTCTATTCTATCTTCACTGGATATAAATATGAACAAGTAGAATGGAAAGAAAATATTATAGAAGCTTGGTTAGACCATGTCAAAGAAATTATATGCAATGGAAACGAAAAGGTTTATGAGTATATCTTATGTTGGTTTGCAAATATCTTACAACATCCAAGTGCTAAAAATGAAACTGCTCTCATTATAATTGGAAAACAAGGAACAGGTAAGAATACTTTCTTTACAGATATCTTATGCAAACTGTTAGAAGGTTATTCGAACCCTAATATGACAAACTTAGAAAACATCTGCGGTAAATTTAACTCTTCAATTGAGAATATGAAACTTATAGTTTGCAATGAACTTCAAAGTATAGATACAACAAAAGTTTTGAACTCAGATGCTTTGAAGAGTCTTATAACAGACAAAGTTGGAGTTGTTTGAAAGAAAGTATAAAGACCAAAGAGTTTGTGAAAATGTTGCAAACTTCATTATGGTTTCAAACAATACTGTTCCGATGAAGTTAGAAAGTTCTGACAGAAGATATGTAGTTGTCAGAACGTCAGATTCTCATATGCAAGATACAGAATATTTTGACGACTTAGCAGAAACTTTGACATCTGACTTTTACAACCACTTGTTCTCATATTTCATGACATTAGATATTTCTAAGTTCAATCCAAGACAAATTCCACATACCGAAGAGAGACAAACATTGTTAGAAGCAAACAAGAGTGTATATGAACTGTTCATAGATGAAACTGACTTTGTGTCATTAGATGAAAGGTCATTGTACGATTCGTATAAACAATATTGTCAAGAATATGGTTATATGGCAGCTTCTAAACGAACATTCTTGGCAAATGTCAAAAGTCTTTTAGATGTTCAGAATGGTGTATATACAAAGAAAAATTTTTCTGAGTAAATTTTAAAAAAAAATATTTTTTTATCCGATAGAAAAGATGACAAAATTCATCTCAGTAAACAAGTACATGTCAGGACTTAAAGAAGAACTAGACCCATTCACATATTTGAATGTTTACTTCTACCATTTTGAAAAGTCTTCATTCAGCAAAGTTTGGAACATCGAACCAGTTAAGTTTGCTATTGTGACTAAAAATGGTGCGAAATTTGAAGACTTAGACATAGAAGGTTTGTTAGCAGTCAAAGAAAATTTTGACAGAAAGTTCTCAAAACTCGAAGAAGGTAAAGCATACAAACTTGTTATACCTTATGAACCAAAGAAAGCAGACGACTATGAATATTATGAGTCTAAGATAGTTGAAGTTCAAGGTAAATTGGGTAAAAAGATTTTAGAGTCTAAGCCAGTGTTTGCCCCTAAAGAGGAAGAGAACATTGACATTGACCCAGAAATGTTCTAAAAATAAAATTTTATTTTTACATGTCAAATTTCTTTTTCTCTGGAACTGGTTCAGGTTCTTTCTTCTCTTCTTCTACTTTCTTTTCTTTCTTTTCTCTCTTTTCTCTCTTCTTCTTCTCTGGTGGAGTTATGTCAAATTTGGCGCAACTATATTTATGTAAAAGTTCTTTGTCCTTTAATAGCTCATCTATTCTGTTTTCTATTTCATCTTCAAGAACAGCGCATGTGTCTTCTTTGCATTCTAAGAAGTTTTGTTGGACTTCATCTCTCCAAGAGGCGTCATCTCTGTCAACAAGTCTGTCATTGACAAACTTAAAGACTTCTCTGCTTAATGTTTTATGGTTCTTGTCATATTCCCAGAAACAGAACTTTAGAACAAATTCACCTTTCTTGTTTACACTATGTAAGATTTTATGGTCGACAGAAGTTTTAGAGTCGAAAAGTTTGTCTCGAATATAGATAGCGAAATCGCTAGACATTTTCAAAAAGATAAAAATTTTAATTTTTCTAAAAATATGTTAGAAAAAAAGTTTGCTGACATTGACAAGAAATTTGAGAATGTTTTAAACAAGAACAAGAGGAAGTTAGAAAATGCTCAGATAAAGCCTATACATGACAAGTTCTTATTTGCTCAGAATGGTATAACAGGTCTAATCGCACCACCTGGGTCGGGTAAGACTTTCACTTATCTTAAAATGGCTGCACAACAACAAGAACTAGATGAGAAGAACCCATTCTATGAGTTAGTTGTTATTTGTAGTACTTCTGGTCAATTTGACCAAACCGTCAATTCGTTCAAAGATATTATAAAGAAGTCTAAGTTAGTATGTATAAAGGATACTGAGTTGTTAGATTGGATAAAGAAGTACCAAAGAAGAGTTTTGAAGTATAATGCTATAAATGAGTATATAAATTCTAAGTTTAAAGACCCAAATGAGGAAATGCAGAGAATATTAGAGAAGAAACACTTCAGAAACAAACAGAAAGAGATAGAATACATTTCGAAGAAATTGCAATCTTACGATTGGAAGACATACCCTCATAGATGTCTTCTTATCTTAGATGACTTTGCTTCTCATCCTTTGTTAAAGAACAGAGAACAAGATATGTGTCGAATTCTTAAGAAGCTCAGACACTTTAACATTTCAGTCGTAATATGTGTACAGACAGCAAAGAGTTTAAGTAAGGATGTTAAAAGAATACTTACTGACATAATACTTTTCCCCGGATTGTCCGAAGACGATTTCATGGAACTTATGAAAGAGTCCATGGCAGGTAAGTTTGACAGACATGAACTATGGGAGAAGTACAAAGTCATACAAGACCCTCATACTTCTTTCAGAATTCATATCTACGCAAACAAAGTTCAAATTGTAAAAAGTCAAGCTTGAAAAATAAAGAGTTCATCTACCCTACTTGTTTGAAGTTGTCAAAATACTCTGTTATTTTTTCCTTTAACAATGGCAAATCTTCTTTGAAGGTAAGAATTGTACAACCTTTAATATCATAGTGTGTTTGAGGTAACGTATCTTGAACTATTTGTTTCACATCTTCATTCGGAGTCATTGAAATCGGTAAGTTTTCGCGATAGAACCAATTTCTGTCAGATTTGTAAATCTTAGCAAGGTCGTAAAAGCTTTTGTTGTTTCTTCTGACTAAATGCAACATAACCATATCTTTATCTTCTTCATTTTCCATCTCTTCAGTATAAATCATATACTTATAGTTCTTTTCCTTTCCTTTTGGTACCGAACGTGGTATTCTTTTCTGAATGCTTTTGTCCTTGGATTCAATGACTTCATCTTTTGCATGAAGTTTCTTTTCCATCTCTTCACGTTCTTGTCTATGAATTTCGTCAAGAAGTTTGTAAACATGCCAAGCATAACGAGGCGAAGCCCACATTGCAACAGCATTTACAAGAAGTCTATGTACATACCAACCTCTCAAACCATTTGGCAAATTTTTACGATTTTCATGAGTTTTAGGCGACCCCGAAAAAGTTCGGTCTAGAGAAATTTCACTCAAAAGTTCTTGTGTGCTTTGGTTTTTGAACCAGTCGTCTGCGTGTTTAGTGTCTGGAGCAAAACATGCTGTCAAAATACTTTGCATTTGGTACATATCGTCTTTGACCGAACGAATGAGACGGAGTTGTTTGTTAAACTGAACCCACTCATATTCTTCATTTATAGCTTCATGAACGATAGCAGTTGTTGTGTTCTCTGTTGTTGACATATCTGTCTTTACATACAAAATAAAAAAATAAATAAAAATAAAACTAACTTTATTTTTTCTATCTTAAGGAAATTCATGATTTTCATACGGAATCTCTTCTCTCGGTTTTCCGAGGGAAGCAAGCATATGCCCTAAAAATTATTTTACTCAGATTTTTGTTGCTGAATTCAATAAAAATAATGTTTAGGTGAAGAGGTGAGATCTCACCCGTTTTCTCACCTGTTTTCTCACCTCAGTTATTTTATAAGCGTTTTACATGGTAAACGTTATTTTTTAAATTTTGTGAAAACTCAACGGTTTGACACATGCCCTAAAAATTATTTTACTCAGAATTTTGTTGCTGAATTCAATAAAAATAATGTTTAGGTGAAGAGGTGAGATCTCACCTCTTTTCTCACCTGTTTTCTCACCTGTTATTTTATAACCGTTTTACATGAATTGTACGATGTATATTTGAAATTCTAAACAATTTCGTAGCTTCTATTTCTTCTGTCAGTACATCGAATGTTTTAACGATACCGAAAGTTTCTTTATACTTCTTCTTGACGTCAGATAGAAGGAAATCTTCTGCTGTTGGATAGTTTTTGTTCAGAAATTCTAACATATCCATTTTATCTTCTGCTGGCTTCTCTGCTTCTTTCTTTAAATCTGCATAGTCGTTTCTCATTCTTTCTATCTCTTTGACGGAGTAGTTATATTTCCTCATTGCTGCTTTACATTTAGAACATTGCGGGTTCATTTTTGCGTTATATTCTGAAACCTTACCTGCTAGAACAACCAAGGCGTCAATGGTTTTCTTTAAATCTGAAGCAGTTGGTCTTATTTGTTCGTTCCATACCTTACCTCTTCTATCTTTATCTCTTATCTGCCATACACATTTTGCAACTAACGAAACAAAGTTGTCGTAGGTCTTAAACTCCCCGGATTTATATATGTCAGAAACATTCTTATATACCATGTCGCAATCTTTGTCCATAACTTTATGGTTGCAATGAAAACCAAGGAATTCATAATTTACCTTTCGTATGAACTTCTTTATTTCTACTGAGTCAGTTGCTTTGACTTCAATTTCGTCGAATTCAGGAATAGTTAGTTTTTGCTGTTGGATTTCAGGCAATTTGGGTAAATGGTCAATAATGTCCTGCATTTCATAAAGATACTGTTCATTTGTTTCATCCTGTGCGGTACAGTCTAAATTACTTGTTAAAAGTTCCTGCTTTATCTTCTGGATTTTTGTTTCGAAAGTATATGAAGAAGGAATGAAGTTTTTCATCTCTACTAACATAGATGTTGGATTCATAACTAACGAGTTTGGTGCTGTAGTTGTTTGAATTGTTGTTGTGCCGATTGTTGACATTTCTGTTCTTTTATACAAAATAAAAAAATAAATAAAAATAAAACTAACTTTATTTTTTATTTCGGGAAAATTCAAGAGGTGAGAAAAGAGGTGAGAAAAGAGGTGAGATCTCACCTCTTCACCTAAACATTATTTTTGGGTCATTTACGCTCATTACGATGAAGTTTCGACAAAACATTTACGAAGAAGTCTTGACAAAACATTTACGAAGAAGTCTTGACAAAACATATACGAAGAAGTCTTGACAAAACATATACGATGAAATCATGAAAATTCATGAAAATTCAAGAGGTGAGAAAACAGGTGAGAAAAGAGGTGAGATCTCACCTCTTCACCTAAACATTATTTTTACTGAATTTAGCAACAACTTTCTCTCAATTGGAGCTGTGGCATACTCTTTGCGTAAGCGGTTCAGACCTTCTTCGAACTCTTGGTCTCTCTTCGATTTGTATTGGAATTGGTAGTAATTTGGAGGTACTTGCTGGAACTGAGGTTGCTGAGGAGACTGTTGTGGTTCTGCAGCTTTCGGTTCTTCTGGCTTTGGAAGGCATTCAGGAAGAGGAACGTCGGACATTCGTTTGTGTCCTGTCGGAAGGAAAAATTTTTCCTGTCGGAAGGAAGAACTTTTTCTGTCGGAAGGAAGAACTTTTTCTGTCGGAAGGAAGAACTTTTTCTGTCGGAAGGAAGAACTTTTTCTGTCGGAAGGAAGAACTTTTTCTGAAGTTCGACCAAAAAGTTCTCAATTTTCGAAAATTTGAATGGTTTACGGACGGACAACTGGAAGAGTTCTTCCTGTCGGAAGGAAAAATTTTTCCCTTTGTCCGGAAAATTTTTTCCAGTTGTCGGGAAAATATTTTCCTGTCGGATGGAAGGACTCGGAATGCCAGAAGGATTTGACGAGGCAGTTTACCTTATAGAGATAAATGAAGTTGTTAAGCAGTACTTGCGCAAGGTAATGAAGCCCAAGGTCAAGTTCACCACTATTTCTGGAAGGTCTACACTTCAGCTCGAGACTTCGACTGGAATTCCAATTCAAATACCAGACGGGACAGCCTACGATGGCATAAAGGACGCCAAAAGAGAAGCTCTTGTTAAGTTCCTAAACAAACGTCCTTGGATAAAAATACCAAACAAGGAGAACCCCCTACCCCATATGAAATTGGCAATTCAGTCTCTCCTTCACTTCTCGGGTCAACCATTCTACATAACTACAGAAGGCGACATCCAACCAGTTCAGTAAACCTTAACGTTTAACTTCACTTTTTTATGTTTTTTGTGAAAGTGTCAAAAATAAATTGTTTTCATGAGTTTTCTACGATGTTAGAAAAAATGTTATTTTCTAATATCTTCACATTCAATACTTTTTCAGCACTTTTCCGTAGTTATATATGAAAGACAATTCGAGATAAAAGTCATAGTACAATGGAATAATATGTTGCACACCATTTGTTGTGAACCAAACTTGAAAGTCAGAGAAACTGTTACTAGATGGTTCGTAGAATTTAGAAGCAAAGTCATAAAAGTCCTTACCAATACATAGAAAACTATTGTTGCTTGAACTGAAACTTGCATGACACATAACATTTTGAGGGTCAAACACATTTCTATAAACCATCAAATCTGCTGGTGGAAGTATAAATTTAAATGGACCATCTGGTGTAATGGTTCGTTCTGGTTTAGTAACCGAAGAAATTGTGCCCAAGAACGTTTGTCTACTTCCCAAAATAAAAACTCTGTATCTCTTGGAGGGTTAATTTCAATCTTTTGAAATGAAACGGTGGAGTTCATCTTGTCATATTCTAGTTTCAGATAGTATGTTCCATTTAGTAAAGAGTTGTATTTTTTTTGAAATTCCCAATAATATTTGTTCATTTGAGTTTGAAAGTCATTTAGAGTTTTCTCAAGACTTTCGTCTGAACGAACTGTAAAGATTTTCATTTCGTCAAATTTGTCTATTAGACCATCAGAACCTTTATATGCCCATAAAATATACTGCGAACATAAATGCGTTAGTTCTATTTGAAAACAAAACTCTTCTAAATCCTATTGCCTTTGCATCTGAAGGACTTTGAAGCAACGAATTGGATAGTCAAACCTGTATGCTCGGGATGAAATTTCTTCATCTGATATATTCCTACCAGCATTTGTAAAGATATAGTCTAACGGTTTTGTATCTGCTACTTTTGTTCTTTGTTTTTCAACCTGAAGCATTTAATATATGTAAAAATATATTGTTTTAAAAAACGTTTTTACTTCATGCAATGTTTTATTTCTGTGCCGTCTTCAAGTATGCCCCAATACTTACGCTTGGAGAGGACATGAACTTCGGAAAATACCTTATCTAGCTTAAAACAGCCCATCTTTTCACCGACCATTCCCATTTCAATGAGTTTGTTATAGCCTTCTTCGTTCGTCATGAGTGCGTCAATGTTCTCATAGTAAACCACAACTTTGGATTTGACCTCGGAGAAGAATTTGTTGTAGTTGTCAAGGACTGCTTTTGCGAACTGAGGGTAAGACCAATGTTCGACAATAGGTTTTAATGTGGTTACTAAGCCACTTTGACCTTGAGTGAATTCGTACTTCAAAACAAAAGGAGAAAACCTTTCAACAAAGTTGTCGACCTTCTCATAATGTTTACTCTTCATCTCTTGAGGTTTCTTAATGGAATATCCCCATGTCGAATTCATAAGCAATTTGAGTGTCATTGCAAGTTTGGGGTTTGAAGCTTTCCTAATATCATACAGTTGTTGTATGACTTTTCCAACTGTATAGTTCCTTCCCGGGAACTCACCATCTTCGTTTGGAATTCCAGTCGGAATATATTGGACAAACCTCATGTACGCAGCGTTAAGGTCGACATAGTATAATCTTTTCGTTTGAGTCGAACTTGTCGCAACCAATTGGTCCAGTTTGTGGAAATTCAAGTGAGCCTCTTATCTTCTGAGAAACTTCTCCTGTTATCTCATAAAAACATCGTCGAAGCAACCTGTTTCATATAAAACCTTCTGACCTAACTCAGATGCTCTCCAATACAATTTTGACGTCAATTGGATGTCTCAATGGAAGTTTATTTATAGCATCTTGAAGTTCTTGCAACCTCATTGGAAGTTCTTCTGGTTCAGGTTGGTATCGAACATACCAACTCCTTGTGGAATTGTGTACTTCTTTGTACTAGAACTTTGTCTGGAACAACTTTTGGTCTTGCTAACAATGAAAAGTTTGTTTCGTCTTTTGGTACAAAAGTTTCTGTCAGCTTGTCATCTGGAATTGGTTCCAACAAACCTTTCTCGAAAAGAATGTTTACAGCTCTGACAATGTTGCACTTGCCTTTTCCGAACAATGGGTTTGTAAGACTTTCGTTCAACATGAAGTGGTTGTGGCAATTACAATCTTCAACCATGGTAAATTGAACTCAACAACATAGTCGTCATGTGAAGAACCTTTAGCTGTAGGTATGTTGACTCGGATATTGACATTTGCCAACGGTGCAATTTTTGCCAATTGACCTCTGAGAATGTACCTTGTCTTCACACATGACTCAAGATACTTCATTCTTCATCTGTAACAAGACCAGAGTTCCTGAGACATGTAAGAATACAAGGTTCATTGACAATTGTTTCAATTGAATTGTAAATTCCATACCTTGTCAAGTCAATGTCAGACTTATTTATGAAGGGGAAGTATCCAGCATGTTGTCTGACTGCTTGAGGGTTAGGTTGGTGCCATTCGAACTTGACACTTGCAATTCCTTCAATTGCATTCAAAATGTCTGAGTCGGAGTCAAACATTTGTTCTCTCTTTGTAGTCTTGAAAGCGTCAAGAAGTTTTGCGGCTGTTTGTTCATTGCCATGTGCATAGTAAATGTGACCATCCAAATCTGTTATGGTCAATCTGAGATCGTGTCCTTTCTTATTTCCGTCTTGAATTGCAGCAAGTACTCCCATGAAGCCTTCTTTGTTCTTTACCTTCGTCAAAGTTTACTGTAAAGGTTCGACCAGATGTAATTTGACTTCTAACTTCACGATACTTTCATATGCATATCTTGTTCTTTCCATGGGAGCATGACCATCCTCTGCACTACCTTTTTTCCTTCTCAAAGGATGCAATTGTTCGTCATGTTTCCAGTAGAATCTGGCAAAGCCGTCGTGTCCTTCAACTTGAGGTTCACTAACATCGAAAGGCATGTCCATAAGACGTTCTTCTTCTAACCTCTCTAGTTGTTTGGATAATTGGCACGTGCTGTTTCCAAATCCATTTCGTAGCGAAGACCAGACAATTTGTCATAGACTTTTATGGGTCTTCCTTCCTATATTTAAAAATTCTTCGAAACTCTCCAACCATATTTTTGTAAACTCTGCTTTTATTCTAGCAGACTTTCTATCCATTCTATATGGGGCATTTTTATAAAAATAAAAAAATGTTTTTTCTTTACTTTACATAACCGCCTGCTGCAATAAGTCTTTGACGCCAACCCATACAGCTAATGAAGGTTGACTTGGTTTAGTTTGGAAACTAAACTTTGTTTTGGTTTATCTTCATTTTGTTTTTCTTCTTCTATCGGTTTTTCTCACTTTTCGGTTCCTCTGACTTTTACCTCACCTGCAGGAACAGTTGTGTCGTCAACATCTTCATAAATATCATATGCCATTTTTTTGTTTTTCCTTTCAACTTTTGTTTGTGTTGTTGTAAAAGTTTAGAATATTTCGACTCTAAGTCAATGAGATTTCTATAATGAACTGTTGGTCAGTGAAATAAACTTTTCCATCTGTTGTCTCGAAAGCTCCTTCAGACTTCAATATTTTATTTGTGAGAGTCTGTTTCTTTTTTGAGATACTAGCCGTTCCATTTCTATGAAAAGTGACTTTGTAGTTAGGGTTTGTATTTCCAGACCTGGCACTTTCTATTATTGAATTTTCTCTTCATCTGTAAGTTCTTTACAGGTTTTGACAATGGTTCTGAACTTTTTGTTTGTGGGGGTCAAATCTACCGTTTCAACTTCTTCGGTCATTCATCTCAGTAAAAAATTTTAGTTTGGTTTTTCAACTGTGTTTAGGTTTTTTAAGTCGGTCTAAAACTTCCTGTATAGGAAGAACTTGACAAACACTGGTGTAACTGCTGAATCGACAAATCCATCTTGAACCCATTTGTCTCAATGCTGTATTGTTCATTTCATATCAGTAAAAAATTTTACATTCCCCACGTTTGAGGCGGTTGAGGTTGGTTATTGTTTACCCATTGTTTGCATGGTTATATCCTCTGTTAAAGAATCTTTCACCTTGGTCCATATAGTGTCCTGCTTGGTTATAGTAGTCATTTGCTTTGTTATAATAGTTTCCTGCTTGTCTTCCTACATTGTCCATCCATCCTTGAACTTTCCTCTGTTTCAGGATTTGGAATAAGATTTGTGCATCTCGTGCTACATCCCAACCTTTCTGTACAGTTTGTATAATAGGTTGTGCTTTCTCTTTCAGTATACCTAATGTACTCAAATCTTCCTTCCAATTCCAAATGCACCTCTGGCTATTTCCCACTGCGGGCAAAATCTGGATGCAACTCCTGCCTAATGCGCCAAATAAACCCATTTCTATAGGGTAAAAAATGACGAATCCGAACAAGGACCCCTATGTTTCTAAAGCGACAAAAAAAGCACTCATGATAAAAATCTTTAGTTCAACACCAAATGCTTGTTTATGGATATCTTGGAAAACATTCCGAGTATAGAGAAGATGGACCACCATACTGGCTAATATTTGTCGGTCAAAACACAAGATACTGTGAAGCCATACCATTATGGTCCAAAAATATTTTAGATGTGAAAACTGCTTTGACAATATTCGTTGACAAATACCATCCAACAAAACTGACATCTGACTGTGAAAGTTCTTTCAAATCAGATGATATTAAAAACTATCTGCGTTCAAAAAATGTAAACCAATATTTCATTGTCGACCAAAACCATTCTGCTCTTGGTGTCATTGACGATGTATAAAAATGTTAAGAGACTTAAACCAACCACAAGGTGGTGAAGCAAATGAAATGTCATATGACGACAAATATAGACACTTCTCCATGGCAAAGATGAGACAAGTTTTAAATATTTACAATAGCCGTAAACAAAAAGGTTTGGGAAACCACTCCCCCGAAGAAATGAAAAACAACCCTGACTTAGAGAAAGACTATATATTTAATAATTTAGTCAAAAGAGACAAACAAGAAAGAATGCCGGGCTTCAAACTTCAGAAAGGTGACAAAGTAAAAATAGAAATACCTAAACGCGACCCATATGAAAATACTATTGACTATGACAACAATGGAACCCGACAGGTACTCACATTCGTGTTCGTAAAAATAGAAGAAAGTATACAAGAGAATATTATGAAGTTTTAGGCAAACATGGCAAAATGTACACACTGCAAGCAGAAGATAAAACTACTATTGTCAGACCTCGTTTCAAACTTGTCAAAGTTCAAGGTGGTATACTTTCAAAGACAGTTCCTAACAAATATAAGACAACTCCAGACGAATATGCTAAAGAAGTTGAAAATGACGACTAAGCAATTCTATACCATGCGTAAACTGTCATGTAAGGTGGCATGTATTCTTTACTTTGTCCCGTTGTTTGTGTATATCCTGTAACGAAATGTGTATGGTTTCCTTCTCCCTGAGTGTCACTCCAGTAACAATTTATAGCAAACTTAACGTTGTCTTTAACATCATATCCTTTACCTTTTGTCATTCCTGACCAATCCCAATATCTATGCTTATGCCAACCTGCTTGAGATGTACTTAAATCTATGTAATGACTGTGTGCAGGTAAATTTTCACCTGAAATTGTTTTACTTCCACCTGTTTCCTTTGAAGAGTTTGCACAATACAAAAACCTGTCGACTATTTGTTCCCATGCACCAACACCAAACATTACTTGAGGACCTCTTGCATCCATAGATGTATAAATAGAACCTACTGGGTTCATTAAATCAAACATATGAGATATTATAGGATTGTCTCTTTTGAACTTAAAATATAGTGCAACTATTTCAGGTTTCTTCTGGTTCATGTCGGAATATTTTTTATAATATAATCTTATGTTTTCGGGGTAGGTAAAATCTTGACTATAATATTTATTTCTGTCATCTGTATAATAATATACTATTCTCGTTTTTTCTATTGCATTATATCTTTTATATCTATAATAATCTAAATATAATGTTAGCTTTTGTTCATCTACATGTGGTGTTCTGACGTCATCTCCATAGTCATAATAATATGGTGCTGGAGCTGGGTCAGGCAATGTCATATCTGCCATTTCATAAACTCTTAAATATTTCTTTTGTTCGTCTCCATATAAGTTTAAGTAGCAGTTGTTGTCTAATGGAACTTTAACTTGTGTACCATCATTCTTTTTATAGCTTACATACATTTCATTGTTATTTTTCGGAATGAGTTTATACCGTGTACCATTTCTTAAGGAATGTACAAACTGCCATCTAAAATATTTATTTTCTTCATCGACAGAAAAGTCGCCAACAATAGTTTCAATATTTTTTGTTGTTCCTATCAAACTTTGGTATATTTCATTCACATATTCCTTATCTGCTTATTTCAAGGCTAACGTTTAAGTCTGTTATTTCAGATATAGAATGTGTATGTCCAACGTCACTTTCCTGTTAAGGTTCTTGTAAGTTTGTAATATTTGCAATGGTATGTGTATGTCCAACGTCACTTTTCCTGTTTAAGGTTTCTTGTAAGTTTGTAATATTTGCAATGGTATGTGTATGAGTCTTATCTGCTTTTGTCTCTAATGTTCCTTAAGACTTGGTATTTGGTTAATATAATGTATATGAGTCTTTTTAGAATATTCGTTTTCAGCTCTTGTCACTTCACTTGACATTTTATTGTCAACATATGTTTTGTCTGCTAGTTCAGGATGAGTATGTTCTTTTGTTGCATAAGCATTGTTAGCTCTTTCTTCTTCTTTTGCTATTGCATCGTCTACATATTCTTTGTCAGCTTTGTTGTCAACATCTGCTTTCAAAAGAAGTTCATTTATAGGTTTCTCGTTTAAAGTTCCTTTTGTTGGATTTATACAGACAGTAATGTTCTTATTGTCTTGAAACAGAAACTCATCTGTCATTGGGTTTAATGTCAGTTTTAAGTTTCCTTCTTTCAATGACTCAGATATCTTAGAATAGTTTGAAAAGTTTGTGTGTGTTCTTATTTAGAGCTTGCATAATGAGTTGTCGGTTATGTTGTATTTCTCTCATAGACGCTGTTTCATTTGACATTTTATTCTAGATAAAATATGCTTCCAATAGAAAAGAAAATTCAAGAGTTGCTACAACTAAACATTAGATGAACTTTTTACTAATGTCGGTCAAAAGTTTGAGACAGAGACCGTAAAGCATGAAGGCTATCGTTTTGACTACCCATTAAGATGGCTAAGAGACCCATCTGTCACAAAAGCTATTGGCTTTCGTAGAATAAAATTTGTGTCTGTAGAAGATAAAAGTTTTCCATTTATTGTAAAGTTTCATATAGATTATATATCTGAAGGGAAACGAAAAATGTGGGAAGAAATTGAGCTAATACAAGTTGACCTTTCATCTTCTCTACAGACTGCGTTAAAAATATAGAAGATAAAATAAATTCATGTTATGCAAATATGCTGATGAATATGCGAATACCGATAGCACACTTTATGTGAGAATTGTATATGACAAACAAAATTCACAAGTGTCATTTCAAATCTACGAAGACAATCCAAATAAAGACGAACAAATATATACAGAATTCACTGCAATGTCATGGTATATTATTTGCAAAGAATGTTAAAATCAGAAAGTCGAACTTCCTTTAGCAAATATTTACAGTCGATATGCAAGAGATGAACCATATTTATTTAAAGATGTTTTCGACCAAGATGCTGTGATAGTTCATGCTTCATTTTCTGGCGCCCCAAAACTCTTTCTTATGCTTGGCAAATGACTTTTACGAAAAACCTACAAAGTTATACGAACCACCAAGTGGAAGTATTTCAGACTTTCAAGTATGGTTTACTACAGATGGAAGAAAAAGAATAATTCCATTATACCATGCGTTTTACTTAGAACTTAGTTTCATATACAACTACTATCGAACGGTAAAAATATAATTTTTTAATACGGTTGAGGTGTTGGATTTGGTTGCCAACTAGACTGTGGTGCAGGTTCAGGCTGTTGTATAACAGGAGCTTGTTCTTCTGGTTCAGGGTCTTTAGGTATAATACCAACGAACTGACCTACTCTTTTACCAATATTTTTGACACCGTTCCATACTCCTCTTCCTACGGTTTTTATTCCATTCCATATACCTCTTCCAACATTTCGAAAGAAGTTTCCTATTCTTCCAAAGAAACCCATTTACTATATGTAAAAATCTAATGTCCGCCTAGTCTCTTACGTTTCCTGTTGAGTTCCATAGCATTCTTTAACTGGAGCTCATACATTCTGTTTCTCCTCTGGTAGAAAACATATTCTGGGTCAACTCCTGTGTTCGCGTCATCTGCATAAAGTTGTTTATATCCCACTTCAGGGTTTGTATAAAACTCTTTCCATCTCATATTTGCATACCATGGTGGCAAACCTACGCAGCGTCATTTGACATGGCAGTTTGCATTTGTACATCTGTTGGCACTTGACCAACATAGTTTGCCATTGCAGTTTGTATTCTAACTTCATTTGGAATATTCTCTGGGTTTGGTTGTCCAGGTTGCTGTGCATTCGCTAAGTTCTGTGCGTCCATTTAATATTAGATAAAAATATCTCTTACGAGTACATATACTGAACATTTGCAGGCATTGGTTCATCTTCATATTCTCTGTACTTTTCTGCCACGTCAAATAAATAAATGACACAATGGAAAAAGCCTAAAACAAGTAGTCCTATTTCAAACCACATTTACTTACTAATAAAATTTCTTTATTGTGACACTTTCTCCAGTTTATAGGACCTCTCTCATATTCTATCTTGTCATATATAAACTCATAGTCATGTATGTCTCTAACCATCTCATAACGGTTTCCAAACCACTTTTATCGGATGTAAAGTAAAAGCATGGATGGTTATGTATAACGTCTAAAGTTTCTAAAGAGTCTCTCAAAGTCCAGTCTACTTGGTATTGAAAATCCCATGTGTTATAGAACGGCGGGTCCACTATAAAGAAAACATTTTCCTTGTCTTTATATTTTTCATACAAATCTGTCCAATGACATCTCACAAACTCTATACCCTCAATATATTTTTCTATGTTCTCTTTGAAAACATTTGTATAGTTAAGATATAAAACTTTTGACATAAGTGTTTCAATGTCATGAACTCTTATAGCACCACTATATAATAGTCTAGCAGATATACTATTCCAGTCTATATATTCTGCTTTTTTCAAAACCTCTCTCACAATATTTTTCTTATCTAATGGTATACGTTCCATCTTACCTATAGGTATCTTTTCTTTTAACTCTTTCAATATATTGTTTGTGTCTGGAATATGTTTGAGACGGTCCATATAGTTGTCGAAGTCATTGCATATAATCTTTGAGTCTGGGAATATTATATGGCACAAATGGGATATATAGAAACTTCCACCGAACAAATCTACAAATGTTAGACCATTCGGTAGTTTCTTGAGTTCTCTCAATATAATATCTTTACATCTACTCTTATTTCCAAAGAACGGTAACGGTGGTTTTGTAAAATTCATTTATATATAATAATAAAAATGTTTTTACCCGAAAAGTGACAGAAAAGTGACAAAACATGAAAACATATATAATTTGTGAAAAGCGACACCATTAATATGATGTAAATAACAACGGTTTTGGTTTTTATCACCGGCTGGTCGGCTGGGGTTCGGTCCTCCTCTTGGGTCTTGGGCAAAATTCTTAGGGCTAGAGGGCACGAAGTGCCTGGAAGCCCCACTACCTTTTTTTTTTTTTTTTTTTTTTTTTTTTGTGGTTTGAAATGATATTATCATATTTTCACTTATTAATTAAGATGGAGCTGAAACAAATCAATATTTTTCATTTCTTAAATGCATAATGCTATTTTTAAAATCAATTTTTCAAATTTAAGGTCTCAGTAAGCTCCAGTTTTAAGGACACGGATACTTTAAAATTTAAGAAATAAACACATAAATTAATAAGGTTAATTTTCGGCACTTCACACAAGTTGTTACAGGACACAAGTGGACAGAATCTTTTTTTTTATAAGATGAGATCAATATCTGAGAGAACATCAGCGATAGCTTTTGAAACTGGAGTTTGTCCAAGATTATTCACCGCATCGATGTCCGCGCCATGTGAAATTAATAGATGTGTAATATCTGAGGAATGAAGTTTTGCTGCAAAATGAAGAGGAGTATTCATTGAAGCATCTCTTTCGTTTACATTTGCGCCAGAAGAAATAAGAAGTTCTGCAACTTCAAAACCGTTTCCTTGAACTGCGGCAAAAAGTGCGGTTTGTCCATTAATTTTTGCATTGATGTCAATTCCATGAGATATATAAAGTTTTACTCTTTCAAGATCATTATATTTTGCCGCATAAAAAAGAACATTGTTACCATTGTGATCAATTCCGTCGAATTTTGCACCGTGCGAGATAAGAAGATCTATTATTTCAGGTTTATTTTCCTGTGCTGCTAATTGAAGAGCTGAATCTCCGTTTTTGTTTTGCTTGTCAATATCTGCACCGTGTGAAATAAGAAGTTCAGCGATTTCTTTATGACCTCTAAAAACTGCTGAAGAAAGCATATTAAATCTATGTAATTCTTCGTTGACATTTGCACCATGTGAAATCAAAATTTCTACAATCTCTTTACTATTTCTGTAAATAGCTAAGTCAAGAGATTTTGCGGTAGGTTTTGCGCCATATGAAAGAAGAAGTTCTATAATTTCAATATTTTTTTCATCAACTGCGATTTCAATAGGTTTAACAACTTTGATGAGTGTTTCACACTCTATGGATACATGATGTGATAATAATAGTTCAACGATTTCTTTCATATTATATTGAACTGCCAAATGGATTGGATATCCTCCATCATTACAAAAATGATCTCTCTGATTGAGATCTGCACCATGTAAAATGAAATATTTGCAAAGTGATGGTATGCGAAAATGCATTGCATCACATAATCTTTCTTTGAAATTCTTATCATGATCTAATGTAATAAAAAATGCTTCAAGATTATCATAATCATAGTAATAATGACTATCAACTGGTAAATTGTATTCGTTGACTAAAAAACTAACAAAATCAATGTTATGTGATATAATTGCATAACGCATTGTATTGGCATTTGGCTGCACAACCTTCAAACATTCGCTCATTATTTCTGGATTTCCTCCAAGAAATGAATAATTAAGGCAATTTTCATTGATTTCTGCATTAAATTTCGTCCTTAAAAACTTAAAACAACGTGCTGCGCCATAATAGCAACATAATTCAAGATATGAATAAGTGTTTTCATAATACATAACTCGTGGATTTAAAAAATCGTATATAACTTGATTTATATCAAAATCAGTTGTCTCTGTAAAGGATATAAATGATTTTATGTCATCATCCATTATAGATTTGTAAATTGAGTTTTTGTCAAGATAATCAAATGAGATATGTTTAAATCTCTTTTTGGGATTATAGCAAAAACCATATTTTTCGTAAACAAGTTTATCTAAACCAGGAATTATCCTTTCGATATTCTCCAAATGATAATCTTCTTTTATTTTTTCGAAGATTCGGAAATATGACATTAAATAGCGGTTGTTGTATACAACAGCAGCATTAATAGAATTTTCAATTATATATTTCGGTGATCGTAAGTTTGTTTCAATCAATTTGGTTTTAATATCTGTGTAAATTTTGTCGATTTCATCTTCGTTGTATGTATTGAGCCTGTATAATGATTTGAAAACATCATTATAATCTTTATACAACTCAAATAGCTCTGCGATACTAAAATCACCCTCACACATAAATTTTGTAAAGTTGTAATGTAACTTTTTTTATTCAAAAAAAAAGTTTCATGAAATGAATTGATTCTATTGTTTGGTGTTTATCTGTCTGCAAGCTCTTGTATCATAATTATCACGATATTCAAAAACAAGATTGTCTTCGTTTGGAAATGTCACAAAATACATGATTTTCTAATTATTTTTTTTTATTTGTTTATTCACATTCGGAAGTGTATATATATATATCATCATTATATGTTAAAACATTTATTTTTTGCACCATGTAAAATAAGAAGTTCGGCTATTTCTTTATAATTATTCCATGTTGCATAATGAAGAGCGGTTTTCCCAACTTTATCTTTTGTATTGATATTTGCACCATGCGAAAGAAGAAGTTTGACTGTTTCTTTCCTATTATTTTCTACTGCAATATGAAGAGCTGTTCTTCCTCTTTTATCTTTTTCATAGATATTTGCACCATTTGAAATAAGAAGTTCAGCTGTTTCTTTACTATTAGAAATTGCTGCTTTATTATGAAGAGCGGTTTCTCTATCTTTATCTTTTTCGTTGATATATATACTATGTGAAATAAGAAGTTCGGCTGTTTCTTTATTATTATAAAGTGCTGCAATATGAAGAGCAGTTTTTCCATCTAAAAGCTTTTTATTGACATATACACCTAATGAAAGGAAATATTTATCAAGGGATGTAATATTAAACATCGGTGAAGAAATCAAGCAGCTGATTAAATTATTCGATTGATCGTAAAAAACTAAAAATGAATCAAGATTATTATAATTTGCGCAAGCATATAAGTCGATACTTATACCGTACTCATTCATTAAGAATGTTATAAAATCAATGTTATGTGAAATAATTGCATATTCCATGCATTCTTTATCTGTTTCTTGATGTTTCAAACATTCACTCATTTACTCTGGATTTCTTCCCAAAAATGAAAATCTGAGACATTTTTTGTTATTTTTGAGTTAAATTTAGTTCTTAAGAACTTGGAACTATCAACTGCTCCATAGTAACAATATAATTCAAGTAATGAAAATATATTTTCATCAGTAGTTACTATAGGTCTATTAAAATCTCTAAATAAGTTGCTTTTAAGTTGTTGATTTTCATCAAATCCTTTTCTTTCAGTCAATGGAATAAATATTTTTAAGTCATTATTCATATGATCCGAAATTTTTCAATTCTTATTTACTCTATTCACTGATTCATTTCATTATTTAGGAAGCAATGGAGTCAGTAAGATTTATCGTTAGTATCGTTTGTTCATGAACTGAGGCCATCGTTTAAAATGATATTCCAAAAATTCACTGAAATAAGGATGAAGGCATTGGCCGAGAGTCTTAAATACATCCTTTGTTTGATATTCACTTTCATCTTTATGCTGCTCATATTCGTTAAGAAGTATTTTTTCAAGTTCTCCATGAATGTTATATTTCTTCAGACCTTTTTTGACTAAATTTTCATATACATTTTGTTTTGAAGGGAATTTAACATTTTTCTTTCCATCAATACGTGATTGTGCTGCCTTGCAAAACTTGACTAAGTCTTTAGATCTAAAAGGATAGTTATCATCTGCTTTTTTGATTGCATAAGCATACTTGTGAAGTTTAAATGCACAAATATATGTTGAAAACAAATTCTTCTCTGGATTATCCAAAATATGTTGTGAGTTATGTAACTCCTTAAGAAAGGCTGCACTTCCGTATTTTATTCGTATTTGTTTGTCTTCCTTCCAAAGTTTTGTCAATTGCTTGGCTTGCGTGCTATGAGTTTCGATTATTGGGCTGTTTTCTCTGATATAAGCAAGCAATGACAAAGCTGTTAATGCAATATCATTTGAAATATAAGGAATTAAATCGATATAAATCGGAACAATTTCGGAATTACTTTTACCTTGGTTTTCATAAATCAATCTCGGAAAATCAATTGATGACTTTAATTCTAATTGCTCTTTAGCTGCAGCTAATTGTTTGCAGGGAAAATCAATTTGATTAATTGTATCTTTAAGACTTAATGTTGAGCAGAAAAATGGAATTCCTGAATTTGATCTGTACTGAGTATCTATAACTGTGTGACATTTGACAACTCCATTCTTATCTGGCAATCCATTAACAGGAATTCCAAGCTTCATTAAGCCAAGAACATCGCGAACAATATCAAAGAAAATCGTATAAACATAATAATTTGTGAATACCGATCTTAATGCTTTCTTCACATCGTCATCTGGATCAATTATGATGAATCCGTCTTGTAGATCAATGGTTTCATTTCTTTTTCCCGTAATTTTATATCGAATAAAGTCTTTTTTATTTGCAAAACACTCTGCAAATTGTAGAACGAATACATCACATAGTTCTATTTCATTGATTTTACCTTCAGTGTCAACAGTAAAGAAATATGAACTCTTTATATGATTATTCAAGTTGAAAATGACTGAATTGCAGTAATTGATAAGCTTATCTTTATTTTGGTTCTTGTATACAATTGTGTGCGTACGCCCTGTAATTGGACATACATATTCATTGGGAACAATCATCTTTTTAGAACTAAAAAAATTTAAATTGAGTGTCTTATGAAAATTTTTTATTAGATTTTTTATCATGATGCATCTATTCTTTTTCTTTATGAAGTGGAACTTGAATACTTTTTTCCTAATTTAAATAATTTTATATATATCTTCTTGACTTTCACTCGTTTAGAGAATAAATGATTTCCTGTTTACATATTTTGATGCAATAATGAATTAAACCACTTATATTTGAGCATTTTGTGATAGGATTGTGCCATTAATATAAACTAAGATAGAAAACCATTAAAATGCTAATGATTTAAAATGAGTTTGTTTCTGCTATTGTAATGAATGATATGAACTTGATATTGTTGAATTGAAGATATTTCTGTAAGAATATAACAACTTCATGATATTGTCCATTTTCAGCATCTCGATTAAATATTTTTTATCAAATGGGTCATCGAGTCATAATTAAACAATATACTTATGCATATTTTATTTATTCTCTTGATAACAAACTATTCTCGAAAGGAAATTTTTATAATTATTTCCTTTTCGTTTTGCCTTTTTGATTGAATTAGATAGCCTGCAATTATCGAGTATATTTTTATTTAGGGAATATTTGCATTCTGAGCTGTTAACAATGCTATTAAATTCAATTGAGTTTAAGGAAGCTGAATTATCATCAGAGAATGTATTAATAACAACAATCGAACCTTTATTGGTGTAATAAGTAGTAGTAGTTACGAATTTGTTGATAATGCAACAATAGCATATATTTAGTATTGTTCCAATTAGTCTTCCATCACTGCTAGAATCATTGTTTTCGATATAATTGCATGCTATTGCAGAAATGTATTTATTATTTGAGGAAGCATGCCAAGCTAATGCAAAAGGTTGGGAGAAGAATTTACTTTGTAATTGATTATTTGATCGAATTGTGGTATATTTTACGAACGAATTTGAAGAAACTGACATCATTGAGTAACCGAAAACAATTCCAACTTTATTTGAGGTGATATTGCACTGATCAATGATTTGTTTGCCATGTGTCAGGCCGAGGAGAACAAGATAGCTGTCTATTTTACCACAATCAAAAATTATTGAATCATTTTGTTCGTTTTTAGAATTTTCAATTTCGGAAACTTTTACGCAAAAAGAAGTGCTTCATCTTTATTTATCGATTTAATATATGAATTTCGTTTCTGAGCAAACTGTCCTTTATCACTAAAATAAAGAGAACCGCCTGGTTATAAAATATTTCCAGATCTCATCAAAACATATCAAAAAGTATTATGAATCCAAAACTTATTGCGTTCAAATATTGCTTGAGAATATTTTATTTATTGCTATTTATTCCTTTGAGTATATATCATCGTTAAAAGTAATGTTTTGAATTTGTTTTGAAAATTATTTGCTTTTTTCTTAGCTTTGTAAATGGATATAGATGAAATTATGTCACAGTTGTCATGAATTTTTTCATCGAAAAAATAATTGCACTCTGAACTTTCAATCATGCTAATAAATTCTACAGAGTTTGAGGTTGAATTGTTATCAGTAAATGAATTACTGACTACAATTGAACCACTTTCGATATAAAAAGTTGTTTTAACTGCTTTGTTTAAAATACAGCAATGGCAAACATATAGATTCGATAATGCTCCAATCAATCTTCCATCATCACTTGCATCATTATTTTCTACATAGTTGCATGCTATTACAGAAATAGATTTATTTTTCGAAGAATAATGCCAAGCTAATGCGACAGGGTCTAAAAATTCACTCGCAAGTTGATTATTAGATCGAACTGTTGTATATTTAACGAACAAATCTGAGGTAGCAAACATTGCATAGCCTGATACAGTGCCAACTTTATTCGAAGTAATGTTACATCGATCAATTATTTGTTTACCATTCTTCAGTGTTAGGAGAGCAACACAATTATTTAATTGGCCACAATCAAAAATGGTTGATTCATTTATTTCATTTTTATAATTTTCAATTTCTGAAACAGATACATGAAAAGAAGGACTCAAAGCAGTGTTTGTCGATTTAATATATAAGTTTTGTTTCTGAGCAAATTGACCATTATTATCAAAATAAAGGGAACCTCCTAACTGTTTGCCTGAACTACAATTCTCAAAATTAGTTGTAACTACAAGACATTTTGTTTCATCATTGGATGTGTGGAAGCGGATGGCTCCAGTTTCGCTTAAATTATAGAATCGTGATGATAAGATGAAATAATTTAAGTTGTCAGATTTATTAATGAAGTCATAATGCTCTGAATACGATGTATTGAAATCAGAATCATGGAATATCTCGTGCCATATATCATCATAATGTAATCTTAACTTCTAAAAACTTAAAATTGACCAAATCTTTCAAAAGAAATGTGTCACTTTTAGCATTTGACTTTTTTTTATTCTCGTAATAAAATGCGAGAATTAAAATATTGATTATGTTTTATTTATTGTATTCATTCATTTTAACATTAATATTGACTAAATGACATTAATGATGCGCCCACTACTTTCTGGCTTATCCTTTAATAATAGTAATAGAGTTGTCATTTTCAAGACGATAGGAGTCTTTTAGAATTAATAAAACACCAAAACACTCCTATTCCGATGTTTACCAGTGTGGAAGTCTATTACTTTAAGATATATAATCTATTGCAAATTAACTCCTTTCTGACGTTTTGTCAATGGGCCGAATTGTGATGATAATATGAAATAATTTTAGTTGTCAGAATCATTGAATTCTAAATCCATTATTTTGAAGATATTAAGGCTGCACTTACACCCATCTGACTTTAATTCAAATTTTTGACAACTGGCTTGAAGTGTCATTGAAAATTAACCTTAAACACCTAAATTGAAGGCCCCGTCATAGGGGCGTAATTGCACTCTTACATTTATCACTTTTCTTTTCAAAAATAGTCGAGCCTCTTTTTCTGAGATTATATATAGGGTGATTTAAGATTGCTATCACATATATAAAAAATTCAATTTAACGATAAGTTCTACGAAAATGTGAGAAAATTGAAAACCACCATTTGAGCAGTATCTGAGACTCTGTTTGCCAGAAAGTATACATTTGTAAACTTTCTGACACTTTGTTATGCCTTTCAAAGTTTTTGACATTGTCAATTTTCCTCTATAAAACAAATTAAGTTATGAATAAAACACAAATAATTTTTATTGTTTATTTTCTAAAGCGCATCTTAAGAAAGTAAACTTATCTTCATCACTGACAAAGATAGAAGATAAAGCTTCCATCCTTCTCTTTGTGGAACGACCAACAAATTCTCGCCAAAAACTAACTGAAGCGACAAAAACAAAACATGATATTGTTGCTGCAATGTTTTGTTTAGAAACTAATCGAGGAATTCTATAAATTATTGGTAAATGTGATCTAGATTTTCTGTCTGTTTTGATCAAGTCAATTCTATAAAGATTATTTTCAATTTTCTTTACAGAAAGAATAATCTGAGGACTCAATTTCTGGAATGTTCCTTCTATACAATCAAAATCAGTTTCGTTGTAAACAATCATCATTTTGTTCGCAATTTCAAAACTATTACTCTCCGTCATGTATCTGTAAACAATGTTCATCGACTTAGTTTCATAAATACGACTCCTTCCAAAAGTGTCGTGGTCACTTGGCCGGCCAAATAAATCCAAAAATTCTTTGAAATCTTTTGACATTTTTGGAGTACCAGGAGGTACTAAATGTAAAGGAGTACAATGTATAACATCTACAGCTATTTCATCTTTGATTGGAATTTGATCGTAAATTTCCAAAAAGTGACAGATTTCGGAATAATTCAATTCCTTTACATTATGATCATTTTTAGCGTCCAAAAGTCCAGTTCCTGCAAGGAAAGAGAAAAACTTTGGGTGAGGAACTTGCAAGTGGGGTGTTGATGGAGTGAAATTGAGCTCTATCTTGTTGTTTAATAGGTTAGTTAGTTCTGTAAAATCTTCCTCGATTTCGAACATTTCTTTATTTGAAGACTCTTGCTCGAAATTAGTTGGTTGCGGTAAGTCTTCTTCATGACCTTCTTTATATCCTTCGTCAGTTACTTCGAAAGCGAAAATTCCAACGAAATGTCGGACAATACAAATGATTTTCCCAGGGTTTTGATTGATAAGTGTAAGTATCGCATTGTTTATCTGATAATAACTCTTCTCTTTTGCTTTGTTTGTCATTTCTTGAGCTTTTTTCGGTGAAATTTGATTTGAATTTGTTGTAGAATACATTAAAATGTAATCTAATATGGCTCCTAAGTCTTTTTCTGTCTTGATTGTTGTTTGGTTCACGAGATTTACGATCAGTTTCCTTTCTTCCGACTCTAATTTGAAGAATTCACTCGTGTCATTGAGTTCTGAAATGAAATAAGCTAATAAATATAAAGGAAGTTCACTGGCGAACTTATCTCTCGAAAAACAATTCGAAATCAGATGGACCAAAAACGGTTGGAATTCCTTTGAATTCAAAATTTTCGGATAAAAATGGGAAATAAAGAGCAAATAAGAGAAATATTCATGGGGAGGGACAGATTTCATGATGAGGGAAAGGTACTTGAGTATGTTATCAGTGTTTTCTGTCATTATATGAAGAAATAACAAAAATTGCCAATTTGAATTGGAATCAATTGGATTTAAACTGGTATAAGCATTAACTATATCAACTATGGATGATATTTTATCAGTCGATGAGGATATTTCGGATAAAGAAAGCAAAAGAGACAAAATAATTGGATTATCGTATTCAATTGACTTAGATTTGATTGTTGAGTATATACATTCGATTAGAGAATCAATAATATCATATATAGCAAACGGATGTGCACAAATTAAGTTGTTTGACTGCTTAATTATCTCATTTATTGAATTTGTATTTGGATTTTGAAGTTTTTCTTTAACACTGTCAAGTAAACACTTCATCCAAGGGGAATTTGGTCTAATTTTGTTCCTTGAGAGTATAATTAAGCTAGATAACAGAGAATCTTCATTTGATCCAAAACATAACTTCTGGCAAGAAGAAAATAACTCGAAAATATCATCAGAATACCATTTCATGTAGAAATAATCTGAAATTCTGGCTTGTTGTTGACTTACCATGTCAGAAATCACTCCATATACTTGAGTAAGGATTTTTGAGTTCTTTGAGTCCTGTAAAACGCTTCCATTCTTCATCATATTAACAATTAACTCCAAAGCTTCATCAGGAGTTGGTTTAAAAGGAATATGAAATTCGGCAAAATGCATTTCTTTATTAACTTTAAATGCATCTAGGCAGCAGTTGAAGTATACCATCCATTCTTCAACAAAATAAGAACAGAATGGCCATTGTGGAGTGATTTTGTTGAAAAGATCCCAATTAAACTGATCATTGCTGAGAGAAAGTATCCAAAACATCGTATTAAATAAGCTTGATACTACAGAAGCACATCCACCAAACGCACTGTTGTCTGTAGCAGCGTAATCAGCTAATCCAATCAAAATTTTGAATAAATGCCTGATTGTTTCTTTTGAATATCGCTGATGTTGACTTGCTATCGTATCGTATAATTTTATAACTTGTTTTGCTTTCTTTTCTGAGAAGTTTTCTTTTTCAAAAATCGTTGTTAGCTGCAAAAGCATTTTTTGAACAATATCATTATAGTCATTAGGATCCATATCAATATTTCTAGAAATAAATGGTGAATAGAAGTGGTTTACGTCAGTAATAACTGATGCATTTAATAAATCGGCTTGTTCAGGTGTATGTGATAAATATAAAATATAAGATTTTAAGTGTAATAACCATCGCATCTTTCTGGAATCTGAAAATGGAATTTCTAGAATATTTTGGTTAGAATCCATTTCAATATCTGCAAAACGAAGCATAATCTGCTTATTTATTTTATCAGTTGGAAAAATTGGTAATAGATATTGAGATTTATCATCTGGAAAGATTCCCATCTCAATTAAATGAGAATGGGTAATCATTTATTTTAAAATCTGTCAAATTTCGAAAATTAAGAATTTTCATGTCACATGTCATAAAACAAATCATATACTAAAACATAAATATATCAAAATTTTAAAAATTTGGCCAACATTAATTTTTTATATCACATGTCAAAAACATTATTAATTCATATATAAAACTTGATAAGAATATGATATAATCAAGTCAGTCTTTTGTCAAATTTTGATAAATTCATTCAAAATAGAGGTAGGGCAACGATAGGTCAAAAAGGCTTCTCTGATAGATTTCCTTGCCTTTTGGATATGCTATAATATATAGCCTAGCATGATAGGATATGATGTCAAAAGTTAGAACATAACTTAGGATCTTGAGAAAAATGAAAAACAAAAATTACATAAAAAAAGAAAAATTTTATCAAATTTGTTTTTTTGGACCGAATAAGTAATTTTATTGAATTTCAATACGACACACAGATTTTATTATTAGTAATAAATATAATGGTTTACTATTAACAAGGAACATAAACTAATGAAAATTTGATTTCAAATATTGTATATGATTATCATAGATTACCAAAATATATTGCTATTTATGAGGATATAATATTGATTATTAGTAAATCGTATAAATTTAATAAATATACCATGAATATTGAATGAATTTCTTGATTCATAGGGGTAAAACGCGCTTTTATATGATTTAGACAGAGAATTTATGAGATGTAAATAACACAATAAAGGTTTATATTGAATATTTTCTAAAAATAAATCGAAATTATAAAAAACAATACATTTATTCATTGAAACTACTTGGATAAATATGAAACAAGCATTCAGGCAATACTTTTGAGACTTCAACGCATCTGATAATTTTTATATAACTTCACCTCTTATGCTTAGAGTGGAGGTATTGAGATCGTATAAGTATAGATGAGCTCACATTCAGATATGATGTGTGAACTTCTGTTTTCACTGCAATTTTGAATCAGAATAAACTCAAAACAAGAATAAAATGATATACTCACTCTCTAAATGTGTTCGAGATTTAAAGTTGTATGAATAAAACGATTCATCTTTCGAAGCCTCCCATTTAATGAGAGACTTCGAAAGATGAATGTATTCATGTAGATGAAATACTATATATGACCATGTGTGATACTAAAGATATCAAAATGTTCATTTTTAAGTGCAATAGAAGGGTTATCTCTCGTAAAATCTCAATTTAAGGAAGATTTAGAAAGAACTCCTTTCCTAAGTAGATAGTGTGTGGTTTCTGTCTTTTGGTTGATCAGGAACTATGAAATTAAGTCGGACAGAAAGAAGTTCTTTCCAAAACAGACTCCAAATGAGTTGTTCGAAAAGAACTTCCTTCTGTATATGGATAATTGTAGTTACCGCACTGAAGTATGTGATTGTGATGATGGAGTTCTCGATAAATCTAAAATCGGATTAAGATTAATTGAAAACTCAAGTAATTCTTTGAAATCTTGTGTTGTCTGGCACTATAATAACCAAAGAATGAGAATATTATGTTGAATGATGAGTACGTGTGCTCGGCATTCGCCGAGCGAATTGAGTTTAACGTACTATGAAAAGTGACAAATTTGGGCTTTTTTTCCTAGGGTTATGATCTCTTCCTTTCTGCTCAATACGACAGAAATGAAAGAATGAATTTGTACTCCCTAATTGATTACTACAATCTGTATCTATCTTTAACATAGAATTAGCTGCATTGTGATTTATACTCCAGAATTATTCAATTTAAGATCAACCTCGTAAATTTTAATCATATTGCACCAATACTCCTACGTTGAGATAAGAACATGATTATACATACCAAAGCCCCATATTAAAAATCAAAATTTAGCACCTCCATTATGCAACCACATTATTCGTCGCAAATAAGTATATTTACGCATATTATGATGCATATTCACACAACTCGTATACATGAAAAGTTATTAAAATCAGACAAAATTATTGCAATAAGGAAAAAAAAACAACTTTATTATATATGTTAGTAATGAATTACAAATATTTCTACAAAGAATGCTCAATACTTCATATAATCTTCGAATATTTCTTATTACAAGTTAATACATTTTGACTCGAACATGATAAACAAAAGCTGACACGCTGATTACTACATTTATGAAAATATAGTACGTTTCCATTCATCTGTTTACTTGTTTTTGTTGGAATAAAATCATTTTTTTTTCTTTCATGAAATAAGAATTTTGCTGCGAAAGCAATATCTCTAACAATAATTAATACATTACGTCAACTCTGGAATGAGTATTTATCAAATATGATATCAAAATCAAAAATTAGTTGTTTTTTATGAGTAAAAACGATGTAAATTGATTATTTGACTAATTATCAAATACTTTGATTTTCCAAATTTTTTTCGAAATTGATTTTTTCATGTGAAAATTCAAATTGTTTAATTTCATTTTTGAAATTTTGAATTTTTTTTGGAATTTTGAGTTGATCAATTCAGCAGAATTGATAATGCTATTGCTTTAGGGCATACCACAAGGTGATGAATAAAAGGTGAACATTAACAAATTATTTTAAATCACAAATATCATCCTCATCAACTTTAATTCTAAAAAGAACTGTACTGAATTATGAAAATGCATGATTTACATTATTAAAATCTTTGAATGAAAATAGTACAAGATAAGTTTTTATTCATTTTTAATTAGATTTAAACGAAAAACTACTCCATATTAAAATTTAAGTCGAGAAATCGTATTTTGTTCTTATTTGTTAGCATTTTGTAGACATTCTAATCTTGAATTAATTTGTTACATGATATTATTAACAAATTTAACTGAAAAAATATGTTAATATGGAATAAACCATGATTATATAAGCTATCAATGCTATATATACATATGTAAAAGATTCATATTAACTCAATTAACAAAAATGATAGATTTTCATAAAGCTTCAATCTAGGTTCGTCCGAAAATTTTGATTTTTATATAGAAGACATAGTTTCATATACATAATTAAATTTTCAAACAAATTTGATCATACCATTTATTAAGCAGGATAGTATATTAATTACTATCAGTATAAAAATATAAAAATGATTATATTTAATTATTGCATAATTTAGTCAAAGAGTTATAAGCCTCAAGTGATTGTTATCACCTTCAATGCACGTATACTTTATTGATTCATAGATATTTAATCTATGTTTGACATGTTGTTGTCGTCATTCGTTTTGTTCCCATTCTTCCTAAGTTAGAATTAGAGAATACACCATCCACATCATCTAATTTGGTCCTCAGCGATAGATTGGTTCATTTTGGAGGAGTCCCATCAGACAGTTTTCGAGCACCAAATATCAAATTTTAATGTATACAAATCTTTAGTGATTTATCTCTTTTATGATGAGTAAAAGGTTTCTGCTCATCAACATTTGATTTCCGACATATATGATTTCTAATTGCAATTATTTACTTTCTTTTTATAATCTAACTCTGTGACTCATACCATAAATTAATTATTGGAAAGTGTCAATATGTTTGGCACAACGCATGGCGGAAGATACCAAACCATGCAGGGAATATGATACGTTTAAGATCTCCGAACTTTTTTTCCAAAAATTTTCTATCGTTGCCCTACCTCTTTCAAAATGAAAAAACAAAGAAAATTTTCAAAACAATAATATTTATAATACATTCAGTATTCCAATCCATTTTTTAATTCCTATTTTGTCAAAAAGCGTATTTTTTCGGAGAGGGTCTGGCAATGCGAGTTTTCTCGTCAAGCGACGAGGGAAATCCACTAGTACAGCAGATGCCTAACTTCGTTGATTATGTAACTAGTACATCGTTTATGAACCTATTCATGAACAACGATTCGAAAACTTTAGATTTTGTAATTGCCCATTTCGATCAGATCATGCAATTAGGTTTTCGAACAGTCAACGGAAAGAAAAATTTGGTGACTCCATGTCTCCAAATAATCAGGAATATTAGATATCCTTTTTTGACAGATGTTTATCAAAAGACTAACTTAGCAAGCTTCTTAACTAACTACCCAATACACTGTCGAGCCTTCTCAAATGCTTCTCATCATATATACTTCCTTTTATTGCCAAATTATATATATACCCAAACACGACGTTTAATGTCACCGTTTTCTACCGATGAATTCTTTAGTTCAATAATACAAGTATGCGATTTATTCCCAGCTAATGAATTTCTACGTCAGACAATCTCAACAGCTGGTGCCAGAACTTTATCTATTTTTGATCAAATATCTTTTTGTCCACGGCTAACTCAGTGCTTATTTTATAATGAGCTGGCAATACCAGCAATAGAAATATTAACTCTCGGTCTTGCAAACCGGCTTCAATATCAAGTTGTTGATACTCTTATGCAAAATCAAATCCTCCAAAACCTTATCGAGCTATCCATGAAATCGAAAACGCCGGAGTACTTCGGGTTCTTGCGTTCTGTCTTTCAAATCTCTCAGAAAAATCCTTCATTTTACAAAGCTAAGCAATTATCTCAAAAAATAACAGAATATAAAGACGAATTCTGCTCGATAGTCCTAAGACTCCGCTTGTTTACCCGTATTTCCGAAGTCGCAGCTTACTTAGTGATCGATATTATCGAATTTGATCACATTATCACAGATCCATTCATTGAAATGACACGGCGACTAGTCATAGACTTCTTTGACTTCCCTGCCCATACGTTCCTGCATCAAACTGTCCTTTCATTGTTCAGAATGCTCCTAAAAACAGGTCATCTCACTCCTTCCATCATTAGCCGCAGCGGTTTACCGATGAAGTTGGTCGATGCTTATGATCGGCGTGAAGGAGAAATCGGAGTTTCTTTTTGGGCCGAAACAAGAGAGCTTGCGGAGATTGTAAACATGTTTGGAATCACACAGTTCGGTATTACACAGGATGTGTGGAGGAAGAAGGTAATGAATAGAGTTAACGCTGAAATGGCGATTATTCAAAAAGATTATGGCGGATATACGCCTAGAATTAGCTGCAATGGAAGTATTCTTGATCTACTTCTATCTTTTATTGTTATTTTTGTTACGTTCTTGGGAATCATGTGGGTTTTCCGGAAAAGAATTCAATAAATTGTTTGTATTATATGAATGATGATAAATAATTGATAATTTTTAATTAATTTCTTATATACTCCTCAAATAGCCTATTAATTCATTATGTTTCTCTTCAAATTTCAATAATTGTTTTTTTCATCTTGATTTTTATCAAATATTTACCATCTAGAGCGGCTATACCATCCAATTATAATATATGTTTTGCAAATTTTCATTATTTTAACTAAGATTTCCAATAAATTTTTATAAATTTAGCGCAAAATTATAATATGAAGCCAAAAAATTACATAAAACAAATAGTTTAGTTTAAGTAACAAATTTATATATGATGTTTTGGTGGTCCAAAGATGCGATTCTTTATTTCTTGCACTCTAAGATAAAAGCAAATAATCAAAATCATTGTGCATGATGCGTAATATATTGACATTGTTATTTTGTTCAAAACTACTGATGTCACGCTGATATATGTATCCAAAATTATTTTCAATAAAGTGACTGAAAATATGAGTGGGAATATGTTTGGAACAATGAATGATAGTAAGAATGCATAGACTAAGAAATAAAAGTATCTGATATGCGTTTTGAAATAATCTCTAACTGAAGTAATAGTTGTTGTGATTCTATCAATGCTCTGATATAAGTTGATAATCAAATCCATTGCTTTGTTCATCGAATCTGTATTTTCACTAATTTCTTTTGATAATTTTTCTAATTTTTCTTTCATTTTGATGTTTTCTTGTTTATGCCTTTCAGATAAATCAGAAACATATGTAGATATCAGTGTCATTGCAGAAAATAAATCGTTAGATTTCTTATTACTGAATTCTGCCTGAACTTGATTGGCAATAGAGTAACAAATGTAGTCCAAATGAACTACATAATGAGAAAGTAGCTGTAAATCCTCGTTAGATAGCTTCTGTATGAACTCAATTTCATCTGTTGCATCGTGAAGAAGGTCAAATCTGTTATCATTTATTCTTTCGCAAATCATAATTTGTGCGGATAATTTTAATCTGTTTCGTTCGTTTAAAGAAGGGCACATCTCAAACAATTGTTCTTTTATTTGTGAATAACAACTCGTTTTATTTATTTCGATTCTTTCTGCAATAGCTGTAACATTAATGGTAGTATCTTTATCATCAATATCTGGTTTCCTCTGCCCAAATGATGGTATGTATACAAATAGAAAAGCAAGCATATATAATTTTAAACATGCACTTTTTTCTTGAATTTTGAACATGGAATTTCTTTGTAAAAATGGAAGCGTATGCATGATTGAACAGCATCCTGACATATATTATTAGAATTTTCACAAGCATTGTCTTTCATAATGTTAAACTCCTTTTCCTTTGTTAAGTCTTATACTGGTTCCTGAGTTAGGATAATGTCTTTTTTATTATTTACTAAGTTTTGTTTATCACGAAAATACCAAACACTAGAAGAGATTTTAATATACAAAATTACCTTTAATCAGAATTAAATTCAACAATCAATTTATGTTGATCATTAAATATATATATACACTAGAATGAGAAGATGATAATGCAATATTTTAGTGGATTCCACTTCTTATATTTTACATCTTCATTGAGGTTATAAATAGAATGAACAGCGCAGATTTCAAAATTATATGGCCTATCAACAGATATTTCTGAATTGATAATACGACGAACTCTGTTTTCTACTAATATATTATTAAATGGATAATAGTATGTTTTGGTTACTTTGTTGTCGCAGAATAAACAACTTTTGAATTTTGGCGTAGTATATATTTTTGTATTTTTTTTCATTCCTAAGTTATAATAAAGAGATTGATCAATATCCTTATTATATTTTTCTTCTCCAACATAATATATATTTATTTGATCAATTGCATCAGGATAGATTCGATTTTCAAATGATACATTATCGTGTAGAATTATATTTATAGAAGATACGTAAATGTAATTTAAGAATTCTATCCTGATATTTGAATTTTCACCAAATTCAATTATGTGCAATGGGCATATTTGAAGTACAATGTGTGAACTACAATATTTTGGGATTTTTAGGTATTTTAAATTAGCAGAATAGATAACTATTTCATCATTAATTATTTTATCATTAATTATAAAACTTGATATTTGATTGCAATCTTCAAAAACAAATAGTTCAAATAAAAGATTACCTCCTTCTATCAAAACCGATTCCAATGATATGCATTCTTTGAAACATTCTTGTCCAATATGTTCAACTGAATGTGGAATTGATATTGATTTTAATCTATAGCAGTAAGAAAAAGCCCCAAATTGGATATCTTTAACTGATGATGGGATCAATATTGATTCTATTTTTGCGCATTCAATAAAAGCTTTCTCCTCAATAATCATTACCCTAGATGGCAATTCACTTATTTCTAAAACAGTGCAGCCAGCAAATGCAGCATGTCTAATTTTTGTTATATTCGATGGAATTTTTATTGATAATCAACTTGTGCAGCCAGCAAAACAGTATTCACCGATATACGTAACAGAAGATGGAATTTCTATTGATATCAAATCTTTACATTCATCAAAACAATAATCACCAATATAGGTAGTGGATTCTGGTATTATTATTGATTCAAACTTTTCACAATATTGAAAACAGGCATTTCCAAGATACTTAACAGATACGGGTATAAATATCGAGCTTAAATGAATACAAAATTCAAATGCTGAATCGCCAATATAAGTTATATTGGGTGGTAATTCAATTGTTTTTAAATTACAACAACTATGAAATGCAGCATTACTAATATTTGATATTGAAGTAGGCAATTTAATCGATGGAAGAAGAGTACAAAATGCAAAACATGAATCTCCAATATATTTCACAGAAGATGGGATTTCAATTGATTCTAATAATTCAAAGTGATAAAATGCATAGTCATCAATAATTTCAAGTCCGTAATTAAGTTTTAGTGTTTTAATACTGGTTGGAAATGCTTCCCTTCTGATAATCTTACATATTGAAGGTATTTCTAATGTTTCAATTGTTAATGATTCATAAAAGCAATGATATTGAATATCATTTAAGAAATATAATAAATTGCAACAATTGAGATTTGAACAATTGAAAAATACGTGATCCTTAATTGTTATTGTTTTTGCTGTTTTAATATCAATTTTGCCCAAATTTTTACAGCAATAAAATGCAAATTTTCCTATATATTCTAGTTTATCTGATAGTACGATTTCTGTCAATAAAGTACATTCATAAAATGCATAATCAGAGATATTTTTAATATTTTCCAGGTTAATTGTACTGACATTACTCTTTGCAAAACAATAAATCGGAATATTTATGATAAAAGCAAAAACTTGATAATTCATCATTAACAGTATAATATTCTTTTGTTACTTTTTTAAACTGAAATGGTTTTAGAATTGTCAAATTAGGAAATTCATATTCAATGAGAGAGGGTCAAAGTTGCTATTTGTCACTTTTCCACAAGAATATAATGGGGAAAAAGTTATCATATAGTTGATCTCATTCACTGAGGTGAGAGATGCATGTAGTGTAATTTGATAAACAGTGGGATTGGTGCTCTAAGTCCTAGGTTCGAGACACATTGGCTTCATTTTTCTCTTTTTTATTGACGTAAACTATTCAATTTTTGTGCTCTCCATTCAAATTTCAGAATTTTTTTTGCAGATTTCACGCTACATTCGAAGTTACCTTTTGTAACAACCACCACTGCCTACGAAAGACGAAAGTGTGTCACGATTTCACCCGGAAATCCGACGGTTGTTTAAGAGTATGCACTTTTGTCACCTACTCCATATTCAATTCCTTCAACTTCCTTATGATCAGTAAAATTAATAAAAATGTCAAAATTTGAGGTTTGAAATGTAATGTATTTTATATTTGTATATAAAAATGCATTCATTGTGATTACTTTTAATGATTCAGGTATAATAATAGAAGTAATATTACAAGATTGAAATGCATTTTCATTGATAATTTCTACTTTTTCTGGTAAAATTATTGATTTTAATTTCCGACAATTTCGAAACAGTCCCTTATTAATTATAGTTAGATTTTTAGGTAAATATATTTCGATTAAGCCACAATAACAAAATGCATAATTGTCAATAAATTTTATATTATCTGAAAATATAACGGTTCTTAACAAAGAGCAACTTTCAAAGGCAGAATCTTCTATTACTTCAAGATTTTTTCCAAATGCAATTCTGGTAAGATTGCTGCAATTCCAAAATGCTGCTTTTTTGATAATTCTTATTGAGTTTGGTATATCAATTTGAGAAATACTGTTGCAATTACTAAATACAAACTCTTCGATAACTTCAATATTATTTCCGAAGGTAATTTGAGACAATTTTTGGCAATTGTGAAAAGCTGAATTATTAATTTTTTTATAACAAGCGAATTCTCAATTATTGAAAGATTATAACAAGATTTAAATGCTTCACTTCCAATTACTTCGAGATTTTCTGAAAATTCAATCATTATTAGGTTTTAACAATTATCAAAAGCTCCTGATTCAATGATTCTTAACGTGTTTGGGAATTTCACATTTTTGAGATTTTCACAATCTTTAAAGGCACATTCACTTATAACTTCATATTTGGGCATAAGAAACTCGGAGTTTTCATCAAAAGTAATATGTGTCTCATTGATTTTTATTATTCTTTCATTTCTATGATATATATTAGATAATATTTTTATTCCATTGATATTTTGATAAGTGACATTTAAAATAGCATTCACAGGAAAACGACAAAAATTTGTAACTTCACTATTTATGATGATATCAATTTTTGAATAACTTTCTTTCCTGGTATCAAATTTGTAAATAAATACGCTGAAATCAAATGATATATTTGAAGGGCCATCAAATATTATAGTTTTAATCCTTGAACAATAATCAAAAACATCATATCCAATGAATTTTAAATTTTTTGAAAAAAACAATTTTGTTAAATCTTCACAATTGAGGAAAGACTCTCCAATTATTTCGAGATTAGACGGAAAAATAAGTTCTGTAATCTTTTTACAATTTGTAAATGAACTATATGATATTTTTTTGATATTTACTGAAAAAATAATTGTTTCTAGATTGTAACAATCTTTAAAACAATATACTGGAATTTCTGTTATATCATTTGGAAAACATGTTTCTTTTATTTTTTCACATTCAGAAAAGCTACTAAATCCCAAAGATTTACATGAAATAGGAATGTTTATATTTGTAAGATTTTTGCATCCTGAAAATGCAAAAATTCCAATGGAATGAATATTTTGGTTTAATGAGCCATTAACAAGTGATATGCAGCAGTAAAAATAATAAGAAGGTATTACTTCAATTTGACCTTTGATAGTAACACTGGAGATACTTGTGTTGTATGCAAATGTATTTGTGAGCAATGAACCAGTAAAATTACAATGAAATAATTCATCGCATTGAATACCAAAGATTTTTAAACTAAACCGATTTGCGTTTTGTCACTTTTAACTGTAATTTCGAGAAAAAAAGTTGACACAATTTGTATCTATCAGCATCTGAAATACATTAAATCATATTATATCTTTTTGTTGTATTAAAATTGTAAAAAAAAATAATAACCTTATTTTGTGCTACTATGTTGAATCCCCTAAAATGCCCAATATTTGAAAATCTTGTCTCCAATATTGAGAGTTCTGCAATGAATATCTATTATTAAGGCTGCACTTACGTCCATCTGACTAATATTTGACAACTGGCGTGAAGCGCCATTCAAAATTAACCTTAAACATCTGAATTGAAGCGCGTGTCATAGGGGGCGTAAGTTCACCTTTAAATCATACATAACATTGTGGAGTTAAATTGTTTTACAAAATATAGCTATATTATTTACATAAAAATAAACAAAATAAAATAAAGACATAAATTATTCAGCTTTGATTGATGTCATTGCTACAATGTCGTATTTCTTACACATTGCATCCCATTCTTTGTCACCAATTGTAACTGGCAAATTCAGTGTAACACTCCAACTTGCTTGAAGTTCTTCTTCAACAGGAGTAGAGTTTACATCGTTTATATTTGGAGAAGGTTCCACGAAACTTGTTATTGCAACATTGTCTAATGTTTCATCCAAGTCATCTCTATTTGAGTTCAAATGAATGACGACATCATTCCATGCACTCTTTAGTGATTCCTTCTGTTGTGGGAACAAGTTAACCAGTGCTTGGAAGTCAGAAACAGGTTGAGGAACATCTAGTATCTTTGGATGTTTCTTTAGTGATTTCATCAAGTTCATATAAGGCTGTGTTTGCGTTGGTTGTTGTCCATCGAATTTGATTTCTTTCAGTTGTGGAGAATTCTCAATGAATCTCGATAAAACTTCAATTCCTTGGTTACCGATGTTGTTACTACTTACATCGATACTTAGAACATATTCTTTCAACTGAATAACAGGCAGCAATTCGCATATCAATGGACCATTTGGTCTCTTCTTTGATCCAGTCAAAACGAAATTAGAAATCGTTGTATTTTGGAACAAAACAACTAAACTATTCAATATAGAAACCATTTTGTCATCATCGTATTTCGGATATGACAAATCGAGTAATTTCAATCCATGTATACGACTCAAGAACATTGCAAATCTCGCATCCAATCTATTATTACTCCATACAATACTCTGTGGAGGAGATTCAGAAGGAGATGATGCTTCCAACAAATTAAACAATCTCTCGTATTTGTTGTCTAAAACAGTCATATTACTTAAATCAACAAGTGCTGATCGCTTGAAATCAACGGAAGTCAACAAATACAATAAAGCATCAACATCCCAACCGACTTGTGATAAATTAATCTTTTCAATTGTGGCAGGTAATTCGAATTCAACATCTTTTTTCCATGTGAAAACATTCAATGACAAATCAATGTCTTGTAATGATGTGGATTGTCCACTGATTATAGTAAAGAAGTCACACAAGTTTATGTTACAGTTACTGAGCTGTAGATGCGTAAGTTCTGTAGAAACAATGAAATCTTTCATGGAAAACAAAGATGAAGGAGTTATACAATTAAAATCATGAGAAATTGACAAAGAAGTGAGTTGTTCGAATCTGTCAAAGAGTTTCATGAACAACGTAATTCTGTTTTCAACAAGACCACATTCATTGAACGTAATGTTCTGTATCATGTTAGATTGGTTCGAATAAAGAAGATATCCGAACATTTCTTCTGTAAAAGCGAATCGGTGGAAGTTTAATGATATGATCGATGAACCGACAATTGCTTCTAAGAATTGTTTGAAGCCTTGGACTTTTTCTACATCTACGAAAGTTATTTCTTCCAAATCACGATTAGCTTTAACAAGTTTAATCAATGATGGGAATAATTGGTAATGTTTCGACTCTGAAACCTTTACGGCTTTGATATTCTGAGTAAGTTCGAGAGATAAGAACAATGCGCTCGCCATTTTCTTGTCTAATGAGAATTCTGTAAAATCTATGAGCTTGGGATTAGTTTTCAGACTTTTATATAGCTTCTTGTTGAAATGTTCGTTAATAGAATGTCCCAAAGAATGACAAGAGGAGATATAGAGGCCTACGAACATCTGTGGCAATACTTCTGGTGGCACAAACTCAGAGCATAATGGTAAGTCGAAATGAAGTCGAAATTCTTGTGGAAATAACTCGTAAAATAAAGTTGCTAATGACATAGAAAGAGAATCAATGTCTTTTGTTTCGATGACTATGCTTCCGTTTGAAAATTTGAAAGAAAGTTGATGCTTTTTTGGACTGTTTATTGATTGAAGATTTACCCACGGAAATGAACGAGATATCTTAACCGAATTACCAAATACAGCAGATTTGCATAGGTAAAACTGTGCATATGTCGCAATGAAATATCTTGTATCTTTTCCACCTTTATGGTTAATCTTTGATACCCAAGCGCTATAAACGCATGGTTCGTACTTTTTCTTAACGGTCTCATAAAATGACTCTAAAAGCTTAGATCTCTCATCTGACATCAATTTTTTTTCTTCTCTCGTTTCATGAGATTTTCAACGATAGATTTCGACTTGTGATATGAAAAAGAAATGTAACCTCAAAAATTTACGTGATCTCTCTTAAAGTAGTTAACTAAAAGCATTTCTTTGCATTATGTATGAATACATTGGGGAGAAGCTTCCTAAACTTTTTCATCCCATAAATATGGTCATTATCTGGAATAAAGAGTTAAGCGTCATATGTCACTTTTTGTACTAAGGAAACATCGACTTTATGCGTTATGACTTTTCGATGAGGAAACAAGTGTTCACGTATTATAAACTTCCTTATTCCAATAAACCGACCCTAAACATAATTAATTCTAAGCATGATAATGGTCTCTTTTCTATGATAACCAAATCAATTTGGTTATCATAGTAAAGCACCAAAAACTGGAATAGGAATCGGCAATATGGAATCATGAAGCAACTCGGATAAAATAAATATGGAACATTCATACATCCATTCCCTATTTTTAACCATATTATATTTTCAAACAAAATTCTCGTACTATTTTCAATAAAATTTGCATAACCTTGTTATTACTCTTAGGCGAAAGATGATTTTAATGTTAATTTTATAGAAGAACTTTTAATGCATAATAAAATAACCATTTCCTATAAATTTAGACTTAAAACGGTGACAATAAACAAGCTTTAGTCTAGAAATTAATTTTCTACTACTATAAATGCATCTTTATCTTTAATTAGAAAAAAATTTATCAATTTTATTATCCAGATGAAAAAAGAAGTGACATATGATATTTTATCTAATTTAAAATCTTTTATTGATTGTTTTTAAAAACTTTGCATTTTGTATGAGTATTTCATGTTTAAATCAGTATAAATACGCAAAATACTTATGAAATTCCAGCTGTTATTCAGTACTATTCATTTTTCAGCAATCATTAACTGTGGAAGAGTATGGCAAACGTTCGATAATGATCATGTATACTCAGATCATCAAGAATGAATTAAAGTCAATGCAGGGAAATGGATAATCCGATTAAAAACCCCAAAAAGGAAAAAGATATTATATGAACGTCTCACAAATGGTTAGTACTAAGCTCTTTCCTGATGATTGAATATTCTTTCATATTTTTGTATATTGTAAGGGATTTTCTCCCCAAATATATAATACCTTCCTTATAAACGATCTACTTTCTTTGAATACAAGTATAATTTTACATTTTAGGAAAAAAATTTATTTTTTCAAATTTATCTTATAACAATAGAGATTTATATATGTGTGTGTCAATATAGGCTTTAGTGGTATAAAATTGGGTAGATTTTGTTTTATTTTGAGTAAAAAATTCAAAAAATACTACCTCATTTTGCGTGCAAAGGAATAGTCAGAGTTATTTAATAACATTTTACGAATGAACTATGGAATTACTATAACTTTTGAAGAAATTTCAAAGTTAATAGAAGATTGTATTTTAGAAATCAGCTAAAAGAATGATGTGCATGCATCAAGCGTTAAAGTATCCTAATCAGAATATAGTAATATACAATGATTAGCAAAGCAGATTTGAATCGGCAAGAAGAGTTGCTTAAAAAATCAGTTGAGTCTTCTCTAGTTTCCACACTGCCTATTCCTGTTTAAGTGCGGTTATTCCTATTCCAGTTTTTGGTGCTTTACTATGATAACCAAATTGATTTGGTTATCATAGAAAAGAGACCATTATCATGCTTAGAATTAATTATGTTTAGGGTCGGTTTATTGGAATAAGGAAGTTTATAATACGTGAACACTTGTTTCCTTATCGAAAAGTCATAACGCATAAAGTCGATGTTTCCTTAGTACAAAAAGTGACATATGACGCTTAACTCTTTATTCCAGATAATGACCATATTTATGGGATTAAAAAGTTTAGGAAGCTTCTCCCCATTAACTATTTGAGGAAAAATCAAAATATTGTCCATAAATTTCGGAGTTGAAGAATCAAATGTTAAAATATCAAGACCAGATGGATGCTTGAAGAAGGTGTTGCATTCTATCATGCAAAGAAGCGTCAGTATCCTAAACAGATGGAACATTCCAAAATTATTGATTTAATTACTAAATTAAGGAACCAGGAAGAAGAATTAAATCAAATAGCTGAAAATGAGTTAAAATCTAAGATATAATACTACAGTTTAATAAATTAGTCTTTTTGTTATAAATTAAATCAAATTTGATGCATTTTCTTTTTGTAATATTTCTCAAAGTTTTGAACCATGATAATTGTCAATTCATTCTCATTCTATTTCAATTAATGAATTAAAACAAGTTTAATAAAATTTATAAATTATAACTTCGCCCAAGTCCCAGTAGTATATTGGTTAGAATAGATCCTTGACACGGATCAGAGGCCAGTTCGATTCTGGCCTGGGACATTTTTTTTCTTTATGAATTTGATTTTGAGATAATGAATTCGTGATTTGCGTAAATCAACTTCGGTGGGATTCCAAAACACAATGATAATACATTTAGGAGGAAACAAACTCCTGAAATCTTTAATATACAATCGGGTTTTACATAGGGTGCAAAAAAATGTGAAAAACGATTATTTAAAATTGAATTTTCACATTTATTGCGTATTTGAAAAATCTTGGAGGTGATCATTATTTTCAAATTATTATCAGAGTATTTATCAGCCCAAATATGAGTATTTTTTGGTAAGAAATGATCTTTTTGTCATAATACCTTTTAAATGCTTATTAATAAAACTCGCAGAAATTGAAAATTTAGTTTTTGAGATTTGGATAAATTTCTGCAATTCATATCTAGAATATTATGTAAGAACATTATTCTTTTGCATCATGCGAAATAAGAAGTTCAACTATTTCTTCATAATCAAACAATTTTGCAATATGAAGTGCTGTTTTTCCATTTTTTTTCTCATTGACATTCGAAATGTGAGAAATAAGAGCTTCTACAATTTCTTTACGATTAAACAATGTTGCTTTATAAAATGCTGGTCCGCCATCTTTATTTTTATCGTTGACATAAGCACCATGTGAAAGGAAGTATTCGATATGGGACGGAATATTAAACATCGGTGAATAAACAAAACATTTGTTTATATCATTAGTTTCATCGAAATAAATTAAAAAGGATTCAAGATTTTTGTAAAATCCATAATAATCAAAATTGATTTCTAAATTGGACTCATTCATCAAGAATGTAACAAAATCAATGTTGTGTGAAATCACTGCATATATGATTCAATTTTCATTTGGTTTTTGATGTTTCAAACATTCACTTATAATCTCCGGATTTCCTCCAAGAAATGATAATTCAAGACATGTTTGAATTATTGGTGATTCAAATTTTGTTCTTAAGAACTTGAAACAATCAACTGCTCCATGGTAACAACATGATTCAAGTAATGAATGCCCTTCCTTAGAATATGGATACTTCTCAATTTGTGCCTCATACTTACACCCAGAGTTTCAAGCCAAATTGCATGTTAGATTTTTGTTGGACTACCTTTAATGAAGGACATATTTGCGTTTTACTCTATGGAATATACTATGTTATACTTGTGGAGAAACTATTTCTTCATATAAAAGAAAAAATAACGTATATTTACAGTGCGCAAACCTATACTGAGATTATGCGCCCTCTAATATTTTACTCAATTGAGGAAAAAAAAATCTAGAAAACTTCAGCATGAAATAAGAAGCTCTTCAGTTTCTTTGCTATTATACATTTCTGCAATCTCAAGAGCAGTTGATTCACCGTCACCTTCTTCATTGATATTTGCACCATGTGAAATAAGAACTTCAGCCGTTTCTTTACTGTTATATTTTGCTGCTTCATGAAGTGCTGTGTTTCCAGTTATATCTTTTTCATTGATATTTGCACCATTTGAAATAAAAAAATTGGCTTCTTCTATATAATTATATCTTGCTGCAATGTGAAGAACGGTTTCTCCGTATTGATATTTTTCATTAATATTTGCGCCAATTGAAAGGAAATATTTGCAAAGTAATGGGATATTGAACCATGCTGAATGAAAAAAGCATTCGTTAACATTATTAGTTTGATCGAAATTAACTAAAAATGATTCAATATTAAATAGATTGCTATATTGTACTCATTCATCAAGAATGTAACAAAATCAATGTTGTGTGAAACAATTGCATACTCCATACATTTATAATCTGGTGTTTGATATTTCAAACATTCACTCATGATCTCCGGATTTCCTCCTAAAAATGAAAATTGCAGGCATGTTAGTGTTATTTCTGAGCTGAATTTCGTTCTTAATAACTTGAAACAATCAGCTGCTCCATGATAACAGCATAATTCAAGTAATGAAAATGGGCGGTGAAACGGTGGATATAAATGGCTTTCAAGTTTTTGATCTTTATCAAATTCGCCTCTTTCTGTGAACAAGATGAATTTTTCTAAGTCATTATGCATAATTGCTCTGTAAATTGTATTTTCTGTATGAATATCGAAATTTTCTGAATCAAACATTTCGAAATCATCTAATCTGTTTATTTTAATACCATATTCTTTATAAAACAAGAATTATGGAGTAAGTTGAATATTTCTAACATCTGTGACATGATAATCATCAACTATATGTTTGGCGAGTTTCAAATATGATTTTGTATAGCGGTTATTATACAGAATGATATCTAAAATATCTCTTACAATATTTTGGGGAAGATATTTCTTTGAATCAATCAATTCTGTTTTGATCATTTTGTAAATCGAGTTTAATTCTTCTTCATTTTCCGTTTTTAACTGATACAATGCATTATATAAGTCGATGTGATATTTTAAGATACTTCGCCATTCACTGTATTTATTTGTATTAGTGTCTTGATCGGACATTAAAAAGTTTGACTCGTTAAAAAATTTATTAGGAGAAAAGGTACATTTCACTAGGCTATAACAGCAAAATGGAACAAAAATATGATTAATAGCATCCCTACATACTGCCTAACAATATTTATACGATTTACCAGATATTTGGAAGCCTAAAAAGCTAATGACTAATTAAGGATGCGATGACAAAGAACTTTTTATAGATGAAAGTATAATCTTTTAGAATTTTCAAAATTAATCTGTAATTAAATGGAGATATTATGAATCTTTTGAGGTATAATGACACACTAATGAGGCATTAGATCAATACAACTCAAATTCAAACATATTTGTCAATTTTTTATTCAATAAAACAAATTTCGGATTTGAATCTTTCAATTATAGATCCTAAATAAGATGGGATGCCATTATCATCATAAGCTGTTCCTTTTTTATTGCGCTTCTGGAAGAAAGCTGCAAACTACTTCAAATATGATGAGGTTCTTATTGTAGTGTATATCTGTGCACGCTTGGTATCGACTTGCTTTGGACTTTTATTTGTTAATAAATCCGAAATTTTTTGAACAGGAATTCCATCGAATATTCTCTCAAGCAAAAAGTGCTGCTCTTTTATTGCTCATGTCTTTGTGCTGGACATCAAATCAAATTGGGGTCATTTTCAATAACTCAGTGGTAACATCTAATTTATGTTTACCAAAGGTAACTAAAAATATTATGCAGAAATAATTAAATTTTAAACAATTTGATATAAAGAGAACAATAATATATAATTATATAATTTATTTGAATGCTTCTTCAGGAGCAGTAATTAATGCTTTTGTTGAAGAAACAAAAGTGCTGACTGCACTGTTAAATGTTGTTTTTTCGCAGACTTCTATTCTTTCTCGAAATTCCTGATAAAATCTTGTGAATTCATCTCTATTTGAAGCAAAATTAACAGCAGTTTCATAAAATGTGTCTAGTGACTCTGGATATACTTGCCATATATCATAAATACAGTTAGAAATGGCTCCAACAGTAGCATTATTTGTATATAAATTGCCCCAAAGAATTCTATACAATCTATCAAAGCTGTCCTTATCTAATACTGAGATATCATTGATATTATTAACAAGATTCGATAAAACAGTAGTTGCAGGAACAATATTTGTTGCATGCAAAATATAAGAGCCAATACAACTCAAAATAATAGGGCCACATTGTCCTTCAGTGCTTTCAATTGCAATATTTATGTGGTTCTTGCATAATGCCAAAACAAAACTCAAAAGAGCGTTTGCAACCTTCTCAACATCCATTGCAAGGTCCAATTCTATCAGAGTAATGATTTTTCCGCTGTCAGAAATCAATTCGACTAAAACAGGGTCATTAAATATCTTGAAAACAGAATAAGGAACGAAATTATTGTCCAACAAGCCTTCAATTATTCTACTCATCAATATTATATACCTACAAATGATTTGTTGTGAATCTGTTTTCAGAATATTATCAGAATGATTCTCCAAAATGGATTTAATCATGCGAGCACTACTCTTGAAGAACAAAACTCCATTGGGACTGTGTTTTCTGAACACAATAAGCTGTTTCTTGGAAAATATGATCGACCAAAATTTCAATAAGCACAAGATCTGTCTCACATCAGTGAATTGAGGTATTAATTTGTTCAAATGTTCGATCCTTTCAGGGAAAACGTAATCGAAAAACAACATAAATTGTTTGGTCGTTTGAACTTGAGAAAAGTAGCCACTAAAATCAATAATAGCTATAATAATCTCATCTATTGTTGATTTCACTGTTGTTACAGCTTCAAAAGCATGATTATACATCATCAAAAACTCCAAAGCGAAACTCAGAGGTGCAGAGCTATCAGTTAATATATCAGCAATCGCAGCATGCAAAAATCTTCTTGCCTTTTGATTTTCGAGATCAAATTTAAATTGATCATGCTTTCTTGCAGTTAACAACAAATCACCAACACCTGTATCTCTTGCCTTGTTCCTATAGTTCTGATCCATCAACATCTTATGCAAACATTGACTTACACCTGTCAAAATTTCAGGATTTTGTAAAAATTTTTCATCTGACAAAATTAAAATAAAATGTTTCATTATGAAACATACCAAATCATTGGAATTTCTAATGGGATAAGCACCTTCATCTTGAGCCAATAGATTAAAGAACTGTGATGCAGATGTCGAACTATCAGCGAACGGCAGCAATTTGATTGTTGATGAAAAATTCATCAATGATTTTTGGATGTAACAATTTTCAATTGGATCCAATGATAAAATATTTTGATATACATCAATAATTGTTCTATACAAAGAAACTAAGCTCTGCATGGCTTCAGGAGGATAATTCGTAGGCATTTTAATCGACATATATGTTGAGAAATTAATTAAAAATGAAAGACAAGCAACAATTACTTCAATTTGATTTTGATCATCAGGAGAATCAACTAAAGTATAAAATTGCGTTAAAAGTGCAGATAATCTGTTTTTAAGGTCTTCAAAAATTATCCAGATTTCATCTTCATGGAGATTTCGGACGTATTCGAAGATTGAGTTGCTCTCTGTGTCATTGAAACTGATGAAGAACTCAATGTCTTTGCTGATTCCGTCCATAATCAAATCAACAAATGCAAATAAAATTGAAATTTTAATTTGAATGTAATTCTTGTCTTTTGTTGACCAAAACCAGATGATATTTTGTGCTGATCCTGTGTTATCCATGAAATTATCTGTGGTAAACACATATTTCTGTATGTTTTCGAAAATTTGAACAAAATCTTCTTTGTACTTCTCGTATTTGCTGATTCTTGGGAATTTCTCAATGATGCTTTGATGTGTGAACCACAATAATGATGTTAACTCGAAAAATGATGGTTGAAAAACTTGTGAAATTTCGAAATTTTTCATAAATAAAAGTAATTTGTCAACAAACATCTGTTTGCAATCCAGTGAATCTTTATCTGTCATGGTGTTAAATGTTCCGGCTGTTGCAAGCGCTTTAAGAGCAAGAAAACCTTGATTTAAATCATTTGGCTGTAAATTTGAAACTGATTCAAAAATAAGAGTAGCAACATCTTCTGAAGTAATAGACTGTGGCCATTCGCATTCAAAAACAACTGTATCTGTTCTTTCCGCATTTATAATTGTTTGGACTTGAAAATGGTTGGAAATGTATGAAACATGGGGAAAATGTACCTTAAAGCCATCAATTTGATATTCGAAAGTACTTAAAGTGACAAATAATTTAAGAAGTAAAATTAAAAGATAATAATTAGGATTTGTCTCGGATATTATTTGTTTGAGTCTATTTAATGTAAATAACATGAACGGAAGGTAACAAACTAACTGAAAATTCGATAATTTCTTTTCGACAGCAATATATGACATTGAATCAATGAATCTTATGCATACAATGAATAAGTTTAAGTCATTAATGCTTGTATTAATGAATTCGCTGAGAAAATGATAATTATTTTCATCCATTCCCCAAATTGAAACGAATAGCAAGGCAAAATAGCGTTCAAAACTAGCTGTTGTTTGGTTTGCAATGAGTTCTCTTTTCTCTTGCATCACAGAAATCAAAGATTGAATGTAATTTTGTTTTTCTTCTGGATTAAATTGAGAAAAATTAGTCATCATGTTTTTGTAAAGATAAGAGGTTGCCATATCGAAGACTTTTGGATTCACATCTGAAAAATGAATTAAAGAATCTGCTTCTTCGCAATGATTTGCTTCAAAGTTCCACTTTTCTATGGAGTTCTGAGTACCATTTTCTATATGGTCAAGAATTAAGGCATTCAAATCATTGATATTAATACCTTCACTCATTTGACCAATAATAAAATGAATTATGTTATTGAATATTTGTACTTACTAACATCAATATAAAAGAAATTTGAGCATAATAAGTTCCAGAATAAAATGTATACATTAATTTTGAAAAATTCACATAAAAAATTGCATATTATACACTATGTAATAGATCAAAATATCAAAATTTAACTTTTTGTGTTGAGCTCAGAATAAATGGTCAGATAATGAGTTAATTGAAAAATATTCAATATATATTCTACAATCTTACTTGTAGTTCTATATTTTTGATCAATATTTACGAAATATAGAAGTTTCAAATAGATATTTATTAGATAATGTTGAATTAAATACGAAAAATAATATAATACTTTACATTAATAAAAAAATACAAGATGAGATTACTATAATAATCTATAAATGCGAAATGACTCTTGATTTGACATCGTAATTAAACATTTCGCTGTTTGAATGAGGAAATCTGTTACTAAGAAGCGGCATTCCGCTGCTACTTGTATCATCATCACTGATTGACACAAAAACGCGTACAATCATGATGATCAAGTAAACGAAGCAAACCAACAAAACAATTAACGAAATAATTTCAACAATGTTTACAGGAGTCTCTGTACTCTCTGTATATTTATATGATACGACATTTGACCAGTGTAACCTGTCAAATGAAATAGAAAGTCGTGTTAAATCGACATTATGAGGAAAAGTGCAATTAATTGAACTGGAAGCACCAATTAACTCACCAGAAACCAAAATACCAGATGCATTGCAAAAAGCGCTGTATGGTTTGTAATTTGTTTCAATTAGGAAATCAAAAACGAAATTTGTATCAGAAACACCGCCAGATGGAATAAATGATACTATTTTAGGGACTGGTATTGAGCATTCTTTGATTCCGTCACCAATTAATCCGTTCATGCATCTACAGCCTCCTGTAAACAAACATTCAGCATCCCTGTGGCATGTTGACTTACACTTCCAACATCCTCGTGTTTGTATTGGCCAATCTCCATGATATCCAGGAATACAAACGCATTTTCCGTGAACATTTGTAAATGTGTGAGGACCACTGCACCATTTAATTCCCTCATCATCAGATATTTCATCTTCTGGTTCTTCTTCGACTAATTTCTTCGATATTTCTTGATCAAATGAATCATAACCGAATGAGCGCCTGTTTTCAAGGAATTTTTCTTTTCTATCATCTTCTATTTCGTTTTTTACGTTTTTTGCTATAATTTTGGCTCTTTTTATAGGTGGAGTTACCAAAATTTTGGATGAGTTAGAGATTGTAGTAGATTTATTGTCTTCTACTTTATCTTTAAAGTTTTCTGTTGTTGGATTTATGTTGAGTGAAGAATTAATGAAAGTTTCGGTTATATTTGTTTTCAAATCGGAAATTTTTTCCAAATTTGTTTGTGTTATGCTATTATTTTCTATTACTGAATTGATCTTTTCTGTTAGATTTGATATATCATCTTTATTTGGTGATTTTACATCTGAATCTGTGATATTTTTAAATAAAAACTCTGGATCAATATTTAAACTCTTCAGTGGGTCTACCTTTTTATCTGCAGAAACAGATAATGCATTTAAAATGAAAAGCAAATGCATTATCTGTTTCTGTCAAATTGTCAATTTTGCGAAATTTCATTGACAAAAAAGTCAGTTGAAAATTTAATCAATAATATATTATGATTACAGCATTGTTTTTGAATCTAACGTGTAGTACTCAGAGCAATAAGCTCCAAAAATCAGTGACTTCGATTTTGATTTTGCAAAAAAACTCATTTTTATGGTTTGTGTTTCCCTATGTAAAAAAAAAAAAAAAAAAAAAAAAAAAAAGGTAGTGGGGCTTCCAGGCACTTCGTGCCCTCTAGCCCCGAAGATGTTTAGTATAAATGAAGTTTTTATTCGGAGGGCTTCCAGGAGCTTTTCTGTCACTTTTCAGGAAAAAACATTTTTATTATTATATATAAATGAATTTTACAAAACCACCGTTACCGTTCTTTGGAAATAAGAGTAGATGTAAAGATATTATATTGAGAGAACTTAAGAAACTACCGAATGGTCTAACATTTGTAGATTTGTTCGGTGGAAGTTTCTATATATCCCATTTGTGTCATATAATATTCCCAGACTCAAAGATTATATGCAATGACTTCGACAACTATATGGACCGTCTCAAACATATACCAGACACAAACAATATATTGAAAGAGTTAAAAGAAAAGATACCTATAGGTAAGATGGAACGTATACCATTAGATAACAAAAATATTGTGAGAGAGGTTTTGAAAAAAGCAGAATATATAGACTGGGATAGTATATCTGCTAGACTATTATATAGTGGTGCTATAAGAGTTCATGACATTGAAACACTTATGTCAAAAGTTTTATATCTTAACTATACAAATGTTTTCAAAGAGGACATAGAAAAATATATTGAGGGTATAGAGTTTGTGAGATGTCATTGGACAGAGTTGTATGAAAAATATAAAGACAAGGAAAATGTTTTCTTTATAGTGGACCCACCGTTCTATAACACATATGATTTTCAATACCAAGTAGACTGGACTTTGAGAGACTCTTTAGAAACTTTAGACGTTTTACATAACCATCCATGCTTTTACTTTACATCCGATAAAAGTGGTTTGGAAAGTGTCATGAGATGGTTAGAGGACATACATGACTATGATTTTAGATACGATAAGATAGAATATGAGAGAGGTCCTATAAACTGGAGAAAGTGTCATAACAAAGAAATTTTATTGGTAAGTAAATGTGGTTTGAAATAGGACTACTTGTTTTAGGTTTTTTCCATTGTGTCATTTACTTATTTGACGTGGCAGAAAGGTACAGAGAATATGAAGATGAACCAATACCAGCAAATGTTCAGCATATGTACTCGTAAGAGATATTTTTATCTAATATTAAATGGACGCACAGAACTTAGCGAATGCACAGCAACCTGGACAACCAACCCAGAGAATATTCAAATGAAGTTAGAATACAAACTGCAATGGCAAACTATGGTCAAGTGCCAACAGATGTACAAAATGCAAACTGCCATGTCAAATGACGCTGCGTTAGGTTTGCCACCATGGTATGCAAATATGAGATGGAAAGAGTTTATACAAACCCTGAAGTGGGATATAAACAACTTTATGCAGATGACGCGAACACAGGAGTTGACCCAGAATATGTTTTCTACCAGAGGAGAAACAGAATGTATGAGCTCCAGTTAAAGAATGCTATGGAACTCAACAGGAAAACGTAAGAGACTAGGCGGACATTAGATTTTTACATATAGTAAAATGGGTTTCTTCAGTAAGATAGAAACTTCTTTCGAAAATGTTGGAAGAGGTATATGGAATGGAATAAAAACCGTAGGAAGAGGAATTTGGAACGGTGTCAAAAATATTGGTAAAAGAGTAGGTCAGTTTGTTGGTAATTACCTAAAGACCCTGAACCAGAAGAACAAGCTCCTGTTATACAACAGCCTGAAACCTCACCACAGTCTAGTTGGCAACCAAATCCAACACCTCAACCGTATTAAAAAATTATATTTTTACCGTTCGATAGTAGTTGTATATGAAACTAAGTTCTAAGTAAAACACATGGTATAATGGAAACTATTCTCTTTCTTCCATCTGTAGTAAACCATACTTGAAAGTCTGAAATACTTCCACTTGGTGGTTCGTATAACTTTGTAGGTTTTTCGTAAAAGTCATTTGCCAAGCATAAGAAAGAGTTTTGGGCGCCAGAAAATGAAGCATGAACAATAATAGCAGCTGGGTCGAAAACATCTTTAAATAAATATGGTTCATCTCTTGCATATCGACTGTAAATATTTGCTAAAGGAAGTTCGACTTTCTGATTTAACATTCTTTGCAAATAATACCATGACATTGCAGTGAATTCTGTATATATTTGTTCGTCTTTCTTTGGATTGTCTTCGTAGATTTGAAATGACACTTGTGAATTTTGTTTGTCATATACAATTCTCACATAAAGTGTGCTCTCGGATTTGCATATCATCAGATATTTGCATAACATGAATTTATTTATCTTCTATATTTTTTAACGCAGTCTGTAGAGAAGATGAAAGGTCAACTTGTATTAGCTCAATTTCTTCCCACATTTTTCGTTTCCCTTCAGATATATAATCTATATGAACCTTACAATAAATGGAAAACTTTTATCTTCTACAGACACAAACTTCATTTTCTACAAAAAGCCAATAGCTTTTGTGACAGATGGGTCTCTTAGCCATCTTAATGGGTAGTCAAAACGATAGCCTTCATGCTTTACGGTCTCTGTCTCAAACTTTTGACCGACATTAGTAAAAAGTTCATCTAATGGTTAGTTGTAGCAACTCTTGAATTTTCTTTTTCTATTGGAAGCATATTTATCTAGAATAAAAATGTCGAAAGAAACAGCGTCTATGAGAGAAATACAACACAACCGACAACTCATTTTGCAAGCTCTAAATAAGAACACAACAAACTTTTCAAACTATTCTAAGATATCTGAGTCATTGAAAGAAGGGAAACTTAAAACTGACATTAAACCCAATGACAGATGAGTTTCTATTTCAAGACAATAAGAACCATACTGTCTGTATAAATCCAACAAAAGGAACTTTAAACGAGAAACCTATATCTGAACTTCTTTTGAAAGCAGATGTTGGCAACAAAGCTGACAAAGAATATGTAGACGATGCAATAGCAAAAGAAGAAGAAAGAGCTAACAATGCTTATGCAACAAAAGAACATACTCATCCTGAACTAGCAGACAAAACATTATGTTGACAATAAAATGTCAAGTGAAGTGACAAGAGCTGAAAAACGAATATTCTAAAAAGACTCATACACATACTATATCTGAAATAACAAACTTACAAGAAACCTTAAACAGGAAAAGTGACGTTGGACATACACATACTATATCTGAAATAACAAACTTACAAGAAACCTTAAACAGGAAAAGTGACGTTGGACATACACATACCATTGCAAATATTGCAAACTTACAAGAAACCTTAAACAGGAAAAGTGACGTTGGACATACACATACCATTGCAAATATTACAAACTTACAAGAAACCTTAAACAGGAAAAGTGCCGTTGGACATACACATACATCTTCTGAAATAACAGACTTAAACGTTAGCCTTGAAAATAAAGCAGATAAAACATATGTCAATGAAATATACCAAAGTTTGCTAGGAACAAAAAATATTGAAACTATGGTTGGTGACTTTCTGTCAATGAAGAAAACAAATTTTTAGATGGCAGTTGGTACAGTCCTTAGAAAATGGTACACGGTATAAACTCATTCCGAAAAATAACAATGAAATGTAGTAAGCTATAAAAAGAACGATGGTACACAAGTTAAAGTTCCATTAGACAACAACTGCTACTTAAACTTATATGGAGACGAACAAAAGAAATATTTAAGAGTTTATGAAATGACAGATATGACATTGCCTGACCCAGCTCCAGCACCATACTATTATGACTATGGAGATGACGTTAGAACACCACATGTAGATGAACAAAAGCTAACATTATATTTAGATTTTATAGATATAAAAGATATAATGCAATAGAAAAAACGAGAATAGTATACTATTATGAAGATGACAGAAATAAATATTATAGTCAAGACTTTACCTACCCTGAAAACATAAGATTATATTATAAAAAATATTCTGACACAAACCAGAAGAAACCTGAAATAGTTGCACTATATTTTAAGTTCAAAAGAGACAATCCTATAATATCTCATATGTTTGATTTAATGAACCCAGTAGGTTCTATTTATACATCTATGGAAGCAAGAGGTCCTCAAGTAATGTTTGGTGTTGGTGCATGGGAACAAATAGTCGACAGGTTTTTTGTATTGTGCAAACTCTTCAAAGGAAACAGGTGGAAGTAAAACGATTTCAGGTGAAAATTTACCTGCACACAGTCACTACATAGATTTAAGTACATCTCAAGCAGGTTGGCATAAGCATAGATATTGGGATTGGTCAGGAATGACAAAAGGTAAAGGATATGATGTTAAAGACGACGTTAAGTTTGCTATAAATTGTTACTGGGTGACACTCAGGGAGAAGGAAACCATACACATTTCGTTTCAGGATATACGCAAACAACGGGACAAAGTAAAGAACATGCCACCTTACATGACAGTTTACGCATGGTATAGAATTGCTTAGTCGTCATTTTCAACTTCTTTAGCATATTCGTCAGGAGTTGTCTTATATTTGTTAGGAACTGTCTTTGAAAGTATACCACCTTGAACTTTGACAAGTTTGAAACGAGGTCTGACAATAGTAGTTTTATCTTCTGCTTGCAGTCTGTACATTTTGCCATGTTTGCCTAAAACTTCATAATATTCTCTTGTATACTTTCTTCTATTTTTACGAACACGAAGGTGAGTACCTGTCGAGTTCCCATTGTTGTCATAGTCAATAGTATTTTCATATGGGTCGCGTTTAGGTATTTCTATTTTTACTTTGTCACCTTTCTGAAGTTTGAAGCCTGGCATTCTTTCTTGTTTGTCTCTTTTGACTAAACTATTAAATATATAGTCTTTCTCTAAGT